ACCTGGTGTTGAAGACACCCAGGATGTTGGTCCTGGGGGACTTCAATCTCCATGCTGAGACTGTTCTGACCGGGGCGGCTCAGGACTTCATGGCTTCCATGTTGGCCATGGGGCAGTCTCAACGTGTCATTGGCCCAACCCATGAACGAGGTCACACTCTGGACCTGGTTTTCTCGACAGGGCAGGAAGAGGGTGATCTGGAAGTGAGGAACTTGTGTCTGATCCCCTTGTCATGGTCAGATCACTTCCTCATGAGGTTTGAACTTGGAGCTGGCCTTTCCCTCTGTAAGGGTGCAGACCCCATTTTGATGGTCTGCCCTCGGAGCTGAATGGATCCGTATGGATTCCTGAGGGCTCTGGGGGATTTTCCAGTTGATAAAGCTGGCACTTCTGTTGATGCTCTCGTTGAACTGTGGAATGGGGAAATGACCAGAGCTATTGACATGATCGCTCCTAAGTGTGCTCTCCTGCCAGGCAGAGCCCATTCATCTCCGTGGTATACAACTGAATTACGAGCGATGAAGTGGGTTGGGAGGCGTCTAGAGCGTAGGTGGAGGAAATCACGGGGTGAATCTGACCGAACACTCTTACGTGCTCGTTATCGAGCCTATGCTGTGGCGGTGAGGGCAGCGAAGAAGAAATTCTTCTCCACTTCCATTGCCTCCTCACAGTGCTGTCCAGCGGAGCTTTTCTGAGTGGTACATGGGCTGATACATCCAGGCCCTACAAAAGATCTGGTGCCACCATCGATTGCCTGCTGTGATGACTTTGCCCAGCACTTTAAGAAGAAAATTGCTCAGATTCATCATGAGCTGGACTTCGCAGTTGATACAATTCCTCTAGGGGAGGTGTCCAGAACTCCGTCTGGTCCAGCTTTATTGGATGAATTTCAGTTAGTGAGGCCTGATGATGTGGACAAGGTGCTTGGACAAGTACATCCAATCACCTGCCTACTTGACCCTTACCCTTCATGGTTGCTTACCAAAGCCAAACACAGGATTGGTTCCTGGATCCAGGAGGTTATTAACACCTCACTGAGGGAGGACCGGGTCCCCGCTTCTTTAAAGGAGGTGGTGATCAGGCCTGCCTACAGAAGGTGTCCCTGGATGCAGAGATGGCCGCCAATTATAGACCAGTGGCCAACATTCCATTTCTGGGCTGGGTGTTAGAGTGGGTGGTGGTGGGACCACTCCAGGCACTCTTGGATGAAACTGATTATCTGGACCCATTTCAGTTCGGTTTCAGACCCGGTTATGGTACTGAATCTGCCTTGCACGCCCTGTTTGATGACTTGTGCAGGGAGAGGGACAGGGGGAGTGCGTCTCTGTTTGTTCTCCTGGACCTCTCAGCAGCTTTTGATACCATTGACCATGGTGTCCTTCTGGATAGGCTGTTGAGACTGGGAGTGGGAGGCACTGCTTTGCAGTGATTTCGCTCCTACCTTGCTGGCTGATTCCAGAAGGTGGTGCTGGAGGACTTTGGCTCTGTGCCATGGCAACTCTGCCATGGAGTACCACAGGGCTCCATTTTTGTCCCCCTTGCTATTTAACATCTACATGAAACCGCTGAGAGAGATCATCAGGAAGTTTGGGCTGCGGAGTCATCAGTATGGTGATGACACCCAGCTCTACCTCTCCTTTTCAACTAATCCAGGTGAGGCAGTGGCTGTCCTGAACCGGTGCCTGGCCGAGGTAATGGGCTGGATGAGGGCCAGTAAACTGAAGTTCAGTCCAGATAAGACGGAGGTCCTGTTGGTAGGTGATTCGAGTTTCCGGGTAAGTGACCTGGGCCCTGCCCTGGACGGGGTTGCACTCCCTCTAAAGGACAGGGTCCACAGCTTAGGAGTGTTCCTCGACCCGGAACTGTCCCTGGAAGCCCAGGTGACAGTGGTGGTGAGGAGCACTTGCCTTCAGCTCCAGCTGATCCATCAGCTGCATCCTTACCTGGAGGAGAACTGCCTGGCAACAGTGACACATGCACTGGTTACCTCCCGTTTCGACTATTGTAACATGCTTTACGTGGGGCTGCCCTTGCAGACAGTCCAGATATTTACTTATTTATTTAGAGTTTATTTATTTAGAGTTTTTGTATGGCGTCCCATTGCTTAATGCCTTGGGACGGCTTACATAAACAAACAAGAGCCAGTGTGGTGTGGTGGTTAAGAGCATGGGACTGGGACTCAGACGATCTGGGTTCTAGTCCCCACTCAGCCATGCAGCCAACTGGGTGACTTTGGGCCAGTCACAGACTCTCAGCCCAACCTACCTCACAGGGTTGTTGTTGTGGGGATAAGATGGAGGAGGAGAATGATGTAAGCTGCCTTGAGCCCTTTGTAGGAAAAAGGCAGGATATAAATCGAAAAATAAATAAATAAATAAATAAATGTAATACAAAAAATACAGATTATACAAATTAAAAACCCGATGCATTCCGGCTGCAAATTAAAACCTATAGTAATATTAAACGTTATTTATATATTGTTTAAATAAAAAGGTTTTAGCCTGGCGCCGAAAAACGAATAACGATGGCGCCAGGCGGACCTCTCTGGGGAGCACATTCCATAGATGGGGCACCACCGCAGAGAAAGCCCTCCTCCAGGTACTTTGCCTCCTGATGTCTTTCACAGAAGGCTCCCGGAGGAGGGCCTCTGCTGCTGATCTCAAGGGGCAGGAGGGCAAATACGGAAGCAGGCATTTCTTCAAGTATCCAGGTCCCAAGCCATTAAGATATTTCAGATGGTGCAAAATAGAGCTGCCAGGATGCTGTTGGGGACTGGTCGTTCTCACATAACTCCAGTCCTCTATCAGCTCCATTGGCTTCCCATTGAAGTCCAGGCTCAAGTCAAGGTGCTGGTTATTACCTTTAAAGCCCTAAATGGCTTGGGATCAGGATACCTAAAGGAACGTCTTTTTCCCTATATGCCCTCCTGCCCCTTAAGATCGGCAGGAGAGACCCTCCTCTGGGAACCCTCTTTGAAAGAGGCTAGGGGAACAGAGTACTTGGAGGAGAGCTTTCTCTGCGCTGGCGCCCCAACTATGGAATGCGCTCCCTAGAGAGGTCCGCCTGGTGCTGTCCTGATATGGTTTTTAGCGCCAAGTCAAGACCTTTTTGTTTAACCAATATTTTAAAGTTAATTAATTTTAATGGTATATTTATTTATTTAATTCATTTTAACCATGTTATTTTATACTCAGTTGTGGTTTAGCCAATTTATTTATTTGTTTAGGATCGGTGGAGTTTTAATGTTTGTAAACCACCCAGAGAACCCTCTGGGCTATTGGGGTGGTATATAAATGCAATCAATCCATCAGTCAATCAACTTTAAGGCCATGGCTGATGAGCAAGAAAAGGCTTCCATGAATAAAATTGTCTTGTCGGCATAGAAAAAAAATGCAGTGTTGGTGCTTGCCTGACCCTCAAGGCAGGGAAATAGGATCACCACATGGAAGTCTTTTCTTCCTGGTGGACTCCCAACCTCACTGACAGGCAGTTTGGTAAGGAAGACAGTATTCTCTCAGGAATCCTAGTTCAAAGTCATTCAGAACTTTTTATGCTAGTGCTAAAATATTAAACAGGGCCAGTAGCCAGTGCAGTTCCTTCAACAAATGAGCTGTGCACTGAGAAGGGGTCGTCCACAACAGTTGTTGAGCTATTGTATTCTGCACTAACTCCAGCTTCTGGAAGATCCTAAAGGCTAGCCCCAGATGAAGCACATTACAATAATCTAGTATTGAGGTTACCAGCACCTGTATCACTCCGACCAAACTATCCCTGTCCAGAAGAGGCTGTAGCTGATGAACCAGTTGGAGATGGTAAAAGGCACTTGAGACTCCAGTGATAGTGATGAATATAGAAGTACCCCCAGACTGCAACCCTAAATAATAAGCCTATCTCCCTGACACAGGAACCACTCACTCACAGGTCAGTTTATTGCCCATCATCCAGTGATCTAGGTTTGCATAGCATTCCTGTCTCAATTGTCCCAGGGAGATAGAGCTGTATGTCGTCAATGTACTGATGGCACTTGCTGCAAATCTTCTAATGACTGCTTCCAGCAGCTTTAAACGGATGTTAAATAATGCTGGGGACTGGATAGTACCCTGTGGGTACCACCAATTAGCTCAATTCCCAGGAGTTCAAGGAAGAGTCACTCAGTGTTTCTGGAATTGACTCCACAGATAAGACTGAACCCACTGTAACACAGTGACTCCAGCATTTAGGAGGATACATGCAATTGATCCAGGAAGATGCCAAAAGGGAGCTCTGCTCCAGAACTTATCAGAGTGAAAAATCTAATCCAAGTGGAAAAGACCAAAATCCAGTATGGGTGAAGAAATAGGCTTCATATCAGCCCCTCACATTTATGAAACAAAGCATAACATTTTTGAAAATATTTGCCAGATATAGATAGAGGAATTCCATTTATAACACTAGCAATGCAATATATAATATTCATCTTGACTGTATTTACTTTATCCCACAAAGTCAACTTTAAAGATTTATAGATCTCTCATGAGATCTCAGTCAATTTATTTACTAATGTTCTTTGTGATGCAACATCTGAATCTGGAACTCTGAATTCTGGTGAAAGAAACAACCCATGTTTTAATGGTTCTATTTGCTCTTGGGTGGGAATTCTGGCTTATTTTTCTCACAAAACCTCAGAGTTTGGGGTTTGGGTGGCACAGAGAACAACATAGGAAGGAGGTACCTCTGGGCTATTCAAGCAAAGCAAAGGTGAGAAAGCAGGCAGGAGCCAGGACATCTGTCCACCCCATGTGCTCCAAAGTAATCCGTGGTTAATGAATCATGGGTTGTGTACTTGTATATACCAGCTCACAGTCTTCTCCTTTGGCCTTTTCCTATTTTTATGTGTGTTCTGTTGAATTTTCATTTTCTTCAGGTTATTTAATAAGTTTTCCTAATAATAAATAGTACTGAATGTTTCATTTGTGTTATCATCGTTTGATAATTTTGAAATGTGTGTTTGTTTTCAATAGTACGAGAATCCTGATATGCAAGGAGTGGTATATGAACTGAACAGCTATATAGAGCAGCGGCTGGATATAGGAGGAAACAATCAACTGCTCTTATATGAATTGAGTAGTATCATTCGAATGGGTAAGAGAACATTTTGGGTGTTTTTGCACTGAAATGTATGCAGTAACTTCAACTATGCATTAAAACATTTAAAAATGTTGTCTGGGGCATTATTGTCAGAGGAAAGCTAAACACATTCTGGAGCTTAATCCAAATGCTGTCTAGAAAGCCCCTATGCTGTAGTCTTCATCATAGCCAAATATCTGTGTGTCTGTAATTTCACTTCAAAGTAAGAGCCAATGATAATACAAACTAATCAGAATAGAAAATAGAACTGTCTCCTCATCATTGTCTAAAGTAAAATAAACTGTACTCCAGTTTTCCAAACTAAAAATTGCAATGGATATTTCTAGCATTTTATAATCTTTTTTTCCTGTGTGGCATATAATTAAAAAAGAAATGCATGTGTTTAAATGAAACTAATGCTAGCCATAACCATTTGGTTTCAGCTGAAGCCTTTTTATATTCAGTGGCATCAGCTGATTTTCTGTCATCTGGTTCATGTTTTTCCTTATCCTTTTCCTTATCCAGGTTAATAATTAAGTTTGACACCCTTCATTGTTAGTTATATTAAAAAGGAAGAATTTATCAAGATTACCACAACATAAGCCTTCATAAGTTTATTTCTCAAAAGTGGGTATCAAATTATGTTAGTATATGCAACTGTTTCTGTCAGTGGAGCAGAAAGGGGGTTACTTCGCATCCCTTCTTAAACTCCCTTCACTGTACCTTAAAATCTGCCTGATAGGGTTGGGGAAACCCTCTGAAGCAGAAGTCGGGGGCAAGTGAGAGGCTGCATGGGACAGAAGAGGCAGAGTAGATGTCTGCCCACAACATGGATTTTGTGCAAATGTTGTACTGTTTGTAGTTCATTGTTACTATTGCACAATAACGTGGGAGTCCTAGTTTTACATAGCAAAAGGTACTCTTCTGCCATCTTCAGACTTCATGGTGTCATTTGCTCCCCTAGCGCAGTTGGTGAAGTCTGGTTATCTAGTATATTGATAAGTTAAAATGTCACATTTAAAAAAATAGTTACACAGACAAAACTCATGGAGAATATCACATTTTAATATACCATTAGGTAAAAGATTTCCTCTAATATCTTTGAAGAAGAAAATAGATTTACTTGGTGCAGATGATTCATGCCTTGTGGCATGCAGAATAGATAAAGTCAACAGGGAGAAAGACTGTCAAACTTATCTCTGAAGATGGCTAAACCAGTTCAAAGATTTTAACCTGTGTTTGTGGTGACAGAACCTGCAGGTCAGCTGCTGGTTAAACCAGCTTTATTTCCATATGGTCATAGTTTTGATAAACCAGGTTGTGCATGACCTTGCGCTCTCTCTTTTCCTCTAATTTATCTCACAAGATTTATGTTAAGATAAAGTTGTGTGGGCTGAAAACCATGTATCTCATCTTGAGCATGCAGGAAAGGCAGGATATGTGTCAATCATAATAATAAATACACAGTGCCTTGCAGAGGTATTTGCCTTATGACTTTCCATATTTTGTTGCATTACAACCTGAAACTGAAATGAATTTAATTGGCATTGTTACCTCTTGGTGGACACAAGATGTTCAGTGCTGTGAGGGTGCAAAGTATTTTGTGATGCAAAAGTAAACAAAAACATAAGGGCACTTCTTGGTTGCTTAAATATAACCCCCTGAATCAACACTTGATAAAAGTACCTTTGGCAGCAATTGCATCTGCAAGTCATTTTGGGTATGTCTGTCAGCTTTGCACATCTGGATCTTACAAAGTTTATTCTTCCTGGCAAAACTGCTCCAGCTCCGTCATCTTGGATGGAGACTGTGGGTTAGCCACTGCTTTCAAGCCTTGCCACAGATTCTCAGTCAGATTGAGGTCTGTGCTTTCACTACTATTGCCCTATGAGTGTTACTGCCCTACTGAAAGGTGAGCCTCCTCCCCACTCCCAGGTACCTTGCAGACTAAACCAGGTTTTTCTCCAGAATTGTCCTGTATTCATCCACCCGTCTTGCCCTCAGTCTTGGTCAGTTTCACAGTCCCTGCCAAGGAGAAGCATCTCTGCAACATTATTCTGCCACCCCCATGTTTCACTGTGGGGGTAGTATTTTCAGGGCAATGAGAACTGTTGACTTCATGCCATGCATAGCGGTTTGTAGCAAGGCCAAAAAAATTCCATCTTGATCTCACTAGAATAGAGATTACTTTTCCACATGTTTGCTGAGTCTTCCGCATTCCTTTTTGCGAACTCTGAATGGGCTTGGATATGGGCTTCCTTCAGCATTTCCTTTCTTCTTTCCACCCTTCCGTAAAGTGCAGCTTTGTGGGGTATTTGGGTGATAGTTCCCAAGTAGGGCCTATAAGTGCTTTCTCCCATCTCATCTGTGAATCTCTCCAGCTTCTTCAGAAATACCATTGGCTTCTTGGTTGCTTCTCTTGGTTGCTAATGCCCTCCTTTTTCGGGCACTGAGTTTTGGCAGAAAGCCTTTGCTAGGCAGAGTTGCAGTTAAGCCATATCCTTTCCATTTTGTAATAATGGGTTTAAAGTTGCTCTAAGGGATGTTCATAGTTTGGGATCTTTTTTGCCTTGTTTTATAACCAAACCCTAGCTGGTGGTTATATACAACTTTGCCCCAGAGTTGTTTCGATAACTCTTTGGTCTTTATGATCTGGTTGGTTAAATATGCTTTCCAACAAATTCTGGGACCTTCTAGGAGCAGGTCTGTTGAGTTCACGTGTTCCTGGAATTGCAAGCAGCAATTGTATTCAGCTACTTACAGTGCTCTGGGAGTAGAGGTTTGTCCCAGAGCTTAATTAGGCATACCTTTGCAGAAGGGTTACTTCCTATGCAACAAATTAGTGCCAGTTTGTTTTTGTTCATTAACCTTTGTGCCACAAACATAGTTTGCACATTCACAGTGTTGAGTATTTTGTGTATGCCTTAACAATGCCTATTATCTATGTTTCAGTGCCAGGTTGTAACATAACAAAATGTGGAAAAGTGAAAAGTGGGTTAATATCTCTGCAAGGTACTATGTGCTGGTCATATTATACAACTCAAGTGAGTTTTGCATGAGAAATTGTGCTCATATGATTCATAATTTTTAGAGAATTTAGCTTTTTATCTATAAGGGCTATAGTTGCTTTCTAAAGGAAGAGTAGATTCAGGGTGGATAGATGGGCTGCAGAAACTTAAGGGGAACTAGTGGGACAGGCAATGATAAAGAATGATGGGTTGGAGCTAAGAATGACATTACATTTTCTTTTGCTCTGCCCTTATGAAAGTTCTGTTCAGGATTCCCGTTTTCTCTGAATTATGCTGATATATATTGCCTGCATTTTCTAGTCTCAACTAAACCAGTGATTTGAACACCAGAGAAAACAGGATCAGTGTAATGAAATCTCTGTCAATAGCCATCATGTGTTAGAGCAGCCAGCCCATTTCTTCCTCTAGGAGTTTATAAACAGGAACCTTTTATGTACATAGAATGTGTAATTCTATAGAGTATGGACAGTATCCAGTACTGCCATTCTGCAAACTCAAAATAGTGCTAGCAGAGCCATCCCAAATCTTTCTTTTGTGCAATGATTGTACACTGTGTTTGCGCAATCAATTGTGCAACCATTCACACAATGAATTGTACAATAATACACAACCTGTTTTGTAAACCTAATGTATATTCAGTTGCACAACAAGTTTTATAGCTCTTGCACAATAGATTATGCAAGTGGAGTGTATAACTGCTTCTATAAGTATGCTTGGACAAATATAACTTCAGTTGTATTTCTGCTTGCACATCGTTTGAAACATAGTTTCTGCTAATGCAGCATTTATGCTAGCAGAGTTGGAAAAACGATGTTGGAAAAATCTGCAGTAAATTCAAGTGAATTCAGATTTCAAGAATCCAACCCCCATATTCCACATTGGATTGACTTTGCAGGAATCATGCAGATTTCATGACTTGTGGAGTTTTTTCTTATTTTACGTAATTTTACACAGTTTGTAATAAAAATACACAAAAAACTAAGTACCATAGTGTACTTCCCCATAGTTAGAGAGAGAAAAAATATGTTTTGTGGGGATCTGTGCATTTTGAGGGGATCTATATACTTTCAGAAGGGTAGAAGTGTATAATATCAATTTTGCAAAGTCTACCATCAGTGAACAGAGGATGGTACACAAGATAGTTGACAGTCTGCAAAGCAATGATGAAATAGACTTTACAATGTTTATATATCCCTAGTGGAATGACAGCATTGGATGCTAGGCTGTATATATTTTTATTTAAATATTATTGTAAGTTAAAGTCATACATTAACTGAGTAACTATTGTAACTTTATGTAGTTCTTTGTTTTTAGTGTCCAACATATCAATTATTTACTATAGATGCTTAGCATAGTTGGGAGACATCCATGACAACAGTTAGAGAACCTGTATATCATTCTCTTCTTAATATATATACATATATATCTTTAACTGTTGCTTTGGCAGCTACAAATGCAGATGGATTTGCATTGTATTTCCTGGGTGACTGCAATAATGTAAGTATATGTTTGAAAAGCTATTTTTTAATGAAGAACGACCCTTTGCAAGCTGTTTTATGTAATTTAGTGCACATTACTTTAACAAACTTTAATTAATGTTATGTTTGTTTTGTTACAATGAGTTGTGGTTTTAAGCCAGTTTGTTTCCTGTTCAGGTTTTTTCATCTGAACAGGAACTGTGCATTTAAAACTGTGCATTTAAAACTGAGATCAGGTGAGAGGGTAGAGCAGGAAGCTGTGTGACTGTGAGTGGTGTGTATGTTCATGGGAATGGTATAGATGGTATGCATGTGTGTACCTGTGTTACTGGTAATGAGGTGTAAGTGAATGGCAATGCATGTGAAAATGTAGGGGGAAGGCACTATTGTGATCATTGCATCACATTTATATCACACCTTTTTCCTTTTGCAAGGAACCCAAGATGGTTGCCATAGTCCCCTTCTCTAATTTATCCTTGCAACACCCTGTGAGGTAGGTTAGGCTGAGAATCAGTGACTGGCCTAATGTCACCCAATGAGTTTCATGACTGAGTGGGGACTGGAACCCAGATTTCTACCACTCTAATCTAGCCTACCACTCTAATCTCTAGTAGTAACACTGTTTTTGTGTTTCTTGCATTACTACTTCCTTCCCGCTTGTGTCCCAGCATTATGAAGAAGTGGTAGGCGGTTCTGTTTGGTATGTCTAGCCATCTTGTATTATTGAACCAGGAGATCCAGCGGTTTACTGGTTGCTGCTTGCTCAGATCTCAGTCCGAAACAATTCTTACCTCAGAGTATGCTCAATGAAACTCAGTTCATTCTATCTTTGTAACTGTAATCATAAGAATGTTTATTCAGTGTCATGTATATGTATTCACCTCATCTGTTGTGAAAACAAGCCATTTATCAAAACATGTTGTTCCTTCTCTGTTAATCAGTTCTCTGTATTAAGCTGATTCATTCTAGGGGTGACAAATTTTTGGAGCATTATTTTATTGCATAATAGAACAGTTTTGTGAAGGTTCAAGCACAGATTCCACTGGACTACCTTTGTCTACATACATGTAGCATGTAAGGAAACATTATTACTGCAAACAGCTCATGCTACCCTAATTATTAGAATTGTTTGTAGAAGTCTGATAATTGGTGTACAGGGATCTGTTTGCAGCAACATTTCCTTTCTTTCAGTATAACATTTTCAGTCACTGCCCACCACTGCAGACCATGGCTGATTTTAATGTTCTTATGCTTTTATTCTGTGATTTCCTATTTAAGCCCTTGGAAGTACTCTTGAGTAAATCCTTTCTGGACTCACCAACATGTTGAGGAATAACTTCCTCCTTTGGCAGGCCTCTTGCTATGTATTACTTGAAAAACAAAAACGAATAAACATAGGAATGTACATGGTATGGGGTAAATTTATTTTTCTGTAAATGTTGGTGTGGTTTCTTTGCTATAAAAAGACAGTAAGAAGTGACAACCAAAAGTGTATGATCACACTTGAGGATAATTTATTAAATTCTTGTAGTGCATAAAGCAAAGAACTGTTATTTATTTCCACCTGGTAGACAGTGCCATCTAGTGCCATATAGTAACTCTGCTTAACATTTCATTTTATGAAATAGAATAGCTGAATGGAATACCCTAATGTTTCAATTAATAATTTAATTTAATTTAAACATTTCTATCCCATCCTTTGCAACAAGCCTCCGGATGGCTTACAAAAGTTAAAACTAGTAATATAAAATACAATTAAAACATTCAATAATAGCATAACATAAGCAACAATTCATAACTAAAGAAAAAAGGAGAGAAAAGAAAGAAGAAAAAGAAAATGCAATTGTGTAAGATTATTATTATTATTATTAAATATTAATGATGGGTTAGATCCAGAGAAGCATGAGCAGAACCCTGCTTGTGCATTGGTATTTTTTTTCTCTTCCTCTCCATTGTAGCCTCCTGTACCCCAGCCTGACTCCAACTTCTTCTGAGGGTTTAAGGACCCTCTGGAATATCTTGAGGCACTGTTTGGGGGTTACAGTGTGACAAGAATATTGCCCAAATTTGAGAAGGCTCCCTTGCACATATAGAAGTACTTTTTGCTGGCACAACATACAGTTGGATCCAAAGCAGTGGCTTATTTGTAATCTTTGCAAGGAATTGCTTAAGACAAAGCAAAATGTATAGTTACATTTCATTTAAACTGTGGATTATTTTAAAATAGTCTACATAAAAGAAACAACTGATATATTGAAACCTTCATCATAGGTGTTACCCCACTGTATTATATGAAGTGACTGTTCTCCAAAACTGTTTTATTTATACAAGGTCTTATTTAAAATGTTTAACAGCTTATTTTATAGAATTACCATGCCTTCAAGCTTCATTGCTTGAAGTTTCTGAACACATTTTCCAATACTTCCTATAGGCAAGTCTAGCAGATGTAAACAGATGTAGGACTATTTCAGATACTATGTACTTCATTATAATATATTCTACATAATATTAAAAAAGCCTTAATAGATCCTTGCAACATTTTAAAAAATGTACTTAGCCTATAAGCGCAGGCCAAAATCTTTGAGGTGGCAATCCCATTTAATCAACTGTTCTGGTTAATGGTCTTCTAAATTTTATGTATCAATTTCAATAAGGGAAAATGGGCCAAATCTCTATGCAAAAGAAAAAATAATGAATCTGGCATCAGAAATGACAGCATTGAAAAGCCAGTGCAGGTACATTTCAGCTTTTTGGGAGACCCTGTGTATGAACTGAAACTGACCATTTTGGAGCAAAAGCAATTCAAAGGCATATTGCAAAATGAAACAGCTGAATCAAGATAGGATCTTAACTCTGTCTCCTATGGCAGGATTATCTTTTCTTTTTTAAAATCACACTACACATGTTAAGCAGCTTTCTGATGTCAGTGTGTCTGTGATTGCATGCAACAATTTCCATTGCTAACAGAATTATTATACTTCATACTTTTTGCATTTTGTTTCCTTCTAGCTTCACTCTTTTTAATTCTCCTCTCCTCCCCAGTTGTGGATGTGTGCCTTAGTATAAGAGGTTCTGCATCTTATGAAGTGGACTGTAGCCTGTGAAAGTTTATGTCATCATGCCTTTTGTTATGCTTTAACATATCACAAGATTCTTTATTGGATTTTATGTATTTCCCAAGAGAAAAATACCATTGAGTAAATATCTCAGAGCAAGTTTCCCATATATTTAAAGATAGTGTATTTGCAAACTTTTTGCATATTGCATATTTCCTTATTGTAAACATACTTATTTAGAATTGTACTGAATTTTGGCATACAACTATTACTTTGCATCACTTTTGTTTCCAGTAGTAAATGATAAAGTTTTGAAAGTGACTTTATCTTAAAAGCATGTATTACTAGCCTTTCAGATCCTTGTAATTCTTGAGAAGTTAATTTTTCTTCCAGAATATGTATTTGTAGAACTAAAAATTCTTGAGGTAAACTATAGATAACTACTGAAATACCATATTTATAACATAGATGTAACAGAACCGTGTAATGATAGTTGTAATAATAATGATTGTGTAGCTATCTGGTAATAGTTGAAGGGACTATTATCAGAAGGGTCCCTATCACTTGCATTTATTAATGACATGCCATTCCCAGGTTGCATTGGTTCAACATAATAAGAGACAGGTTCACACACAATCTGATGTTTGTCAGTTATCACAAACACAGGCATCAAGAAGGGAAGTGACAAGACTGTTATGTGTTGGCTGTCACTCATCACACTACCTTAGTCAATTAAGTGCAAGCTTCTTTTCCATTATGAAGCTGTTGCTAGTCCCACATTTGTAGTATGAAAAGTGTTTTTTATTTTGAAAATCTAATGTGAGGATTTGGTCTTTGGAGATGATTATTTAGACAAAAAAGTATGAACCAGAGTAGAAAGTAGGCTAGATATACTGCCCAATAGCTGAAGCTCCCTGGGCATAAAAACAGTAAAATAAAATACAAGAAAAATACAGTATAATCTTATCACAGGGAACACAGAACATTAAAAACAGATTTCAGGGTGGTTTGGTTTTTGTGTAGCACAAAATTCTGAATTGCTTTGGAAACAGCCAGACCTTTCAATTACACTTTCTTCTTGTTCTTCTTCTCAGAGTCTTTGTGTATTCACACCACCAGGTGTAAAGGATGGACAACCACAGCTTGTTCCTGTAGGACCCATTCAGCTTGGCACTACAATATCTGCTCATGTAGCCAAATCTAGGAAAACGTTATTGGTAGAAGATATTTTGGGGGTAAATCCCATTTTGTTTTAAAATAATGTTGAGCAGAGCAATGCAAACCTGTACATCTGCTGACTGGAGGGAGGGTTGTCTGGAGCAGAGGTGACCATTCCCTGATAGAGAAGAGATTTGCCAGCGACAGAGGGCACATCTGCTGTAAAATCCCTCTCGATACGTCTATGATAGAATGTGGTTTCTGCTGTATCTAGGCTGCAACACAGGTGGCTTCAGGGGTAGAAGCAGCCTTGGATTTGCTAGATCCAAAATTTTGTTTCCAATAAGAGGCCCCAGAATCAAGTAAACCAGCCTGCAGTAGGCACAGTTAATTCTTCCCCCCACACATCACAAACTAATATATTTGGTTCTGTCTGTAACAGAAAAGTTGCTGGAGGATACCTCCCCCCGCCCCTCACACCTTTCCTCTTCAGCTCCCCTCCCCACAACACACACTTGTTGCCCAGACCTGTGTGAATCAGCTGGACTTTGAATGTGTCGGGTTGTTCACTACATCTCTCCCCACATGCACTGTTCTGTTGTGCCCTTAGGCAGCAATCCTCTGTAAGCTTACTGAAGAATAAGCCCTGTTGGACTAAGAGGGACGTAACTTCTGAGTAGGCCTTCAAAGGCTTGCATTCTCACATGTGCATGTGGACTTGCATCTGAGTGGACATGTGTAACATTGTGCTGTAAATCATGGAAGCAATCCAGTGGCCCCTGGATGATATTTTGGATTCCCAGATCCAAGGCTGAGATAACAGCATAACCTAGCAGAACTTCCCTGCCTCACCCCAAAAGAAACCTCGGTTAAACAGCTGAAGCAGGCATCTAACTGGTTTGCGATCGGAAGGAATGCAGATGGAACTGTTGCCTCATTGTTCTTCCTGCTCTGCGGAGGATGTTCAAGGTTTGATGACTATAATAGAATACCCATTGGACTGCTTCCTCAATTTACAGATCTTTTCAGAAGAATAAAGAAAGTTAATGTATGTATATGCTATAAGGCATCCACAGCATGCTAATATAGAAGAATTTACATATAATTGTAATGAGGCATGTTGCATCCTATAAACCCTTCCTTATTACAGAGAGGTCAGTAGTGCTGCAATCTCTTATATCAGAGTGACATCCACAACTTACTTAAATTGGAATTTCAACAGCTAAATGGTTTTTGTACTGCTCTAAGCATGAAAAACATGTTGGACAAGTGTGCATTTTATGTAATAGCACTGGATAAACAAAATTAAGCTAACATAAAAATTGAGAGTTAATATCGAATTAAATGGGTCAGAATACAGGGCAGTCCGAAACAAATTTGCTGTGCATACGTGGGTATAGTCCCACTAGGATGGGCTTTCCCATTCTTTTGTCTTCACAGAGAATAGGAGATTGCAGGCCAATTCAAAGGATTTTCATTGCCTAAGAAAGGAAAGGGAGGCTCCGTGCACATGGGCGGTGTCCATGAGCTGTTTTCCTGCATCTTAAGTCTGCCAGACACAGAGTTTGGGAGATTCCGTCTTGGTCTTTACGTTCCTTCTGTAGCATTTCTAAGCATTTCTGTGACATTTTAGGAATGGTGTATAGTTTTGTCTCCCTCATTACAGCCTTGTGTGATGTACCAAAGCTGAACAGAATCTAAGCTGAACATTTCCTAAAGCTGAACAGAATCTATAATAATAAACTTTGAAGTCCAGTCAGTGTGTTTGTGGTTAATGGACAGAATCGACACAAATTTAATAATAAGTGAAATGATGATCATACCATTAATATAAACTGTGCTTGCCTTTCCAGGACGAGCGATTTCCCAAAGGTACTGGCCTGGAAACAGGGACTCACATCAAGTCTGTGCTTTGTTTGCCCATCGTTACGGCGCTTGGTGATTTGATTGGTATTTTGGAGCTTTATCGGCACTGGGGCAACGACACGTTCCACCTTGTTCATCAAGAGGTGATGTCCCTTTGAAGCATTGCTTTATAAAGAATAGGAAGCTCGGATTGATTAACCTAATCAACTTTCATTAGGACAAATAACATTTTGCATACATATTTGCATAAAATGAGGTAAACTTTTCTTTCTGTTTTAGTCAAGAGCATACCTGTGGAACAGTGATTTTGAGCAGAGTGCAGGGAGGAGGCAGTTTTCCTACTTGCTGTTTTATGCTCATCTTCTAGCCTTCTCCTGAGTTTTCACATATATGCTTTCCTTTGCAAATATTCAAGTATATTCCCACAGAGGGAAGAGTATCTTGGTGGATAATATGAAAAATGGTCAGTTGGAAAAGATTGAGTACCACCTTCTCAAAAATCAAGGCTTCTTGCAGCTGCTTTTCATTAAAAATGTGGAATAGAGTCTGTAGCAACCTCAAATTGAGTTGCACTGAAATGTACAAGTTTATTGGTAACCTTCATATTGGACAGTTTTTATTTGGTGTCTGAAATAGAGCAGCAGTATTTCTAAAATGTATCTTTGCCATTGCAAAGTTACCTCTACTCTCTTCTCCAACTTCTTGGCCTAATATCCTAGAGAACGTTTCTGGACATCTGTCTGTGATTTCAGGAGCACCAGCTTATCCAGTACCAGCAGTTTCAGCTCCCTCCATAGGCCAGTAGTCTAAGACTGGCTGTTGGCACCCTTGTAAGACATCCTGGGTAGGGTAGAGAATAAATAAAATAAGTGAAATATCACGGCCTTACTTCTTAACACAACCACTCTAACACTACAGTTAATGTTCTCTAAGCCTCAGTCAACCTGAAGGTGTGAACCAGGAAGGGAGATCCAAGGTTGTTATTGCATAATTAACCAATTGGTCATTGCTTGTATACTCCAGATCAATTCAAAATGCAGCAGCATGCAGATATAGGAGATGTAGGCTTTTTTCCTGTCAAAAATTGCATAGAATCGCATCCTTAGTAAGAAGCAGCTAGAACTGTGGAAGGGCTGGAAATGTATTCATAGCCTAGGACCTAAATACCTGAAGGAATGCCTCTCCCTATATTTCATTTCATTCATTAATTTTATATGCTGCCCCACTAGCCATAGGCTGTCTGGGTGACTTACATCATGAAAATTCATTACCACATGATACAAGACAAACATAACAATACACAATCAATCCCAATAGCAATAATCAAAATCCAATAAAACTGAAATACACAAAACTAATACAATATATGTACATAGCCCCAAAGTAAAACAAAACCACTAAAATGTATCATATGAATATCTAGCATTAAAACAAATTGGCAGCAGAGCATTAATATAAAATTAAGATTAGATCTTCAATCAAATTGAAGAGATCACCTAATCAAACTAAGTACAAAATAGGTATGTCTTTATACGTCTGTTTCCACCTGGCTTTGTCTTGAGATCTGCAGAGAGGTTTCTCTCACGGTGCCTTATACTTTTTTGACAACTAGGGAAAGAGCCTTGTTTTTGTGACACCCCATTTGTGGAACACTCTCCCTTTGGAAATGCAACTTGTGTCAACCTTGCAATAGTTCAGGCACCACATCAGCACTTCACTTTTTCTATGGGCATTTTAAGCTGACTGAATGTTTACCGGCTTTTAGTACTGTTTGATAATTGTATTTTATGCCTTCATTGCCTTTTGTGGTTATATGACCATTTTTCTTATATTTATCGTTCACAGTCACTATTCCGATATATTTTTTATTAACAGCAGTTTATAAATATCCAACTCAATACAAAAATAAATAAGGAAGATTGTTTGTGTTTCAGGTTGCAACAGCAAATCTTTCATGGGCTTCAGTAGCGCTACATCAAGTAGAGGTAAGTCTCTGGATTAAATTTTGGGTTTCTTAAAGGAAAGCGACACATCCCTAAAATTTAAAACAGCCTTATAATATCTACATAGTGTAATTCTGCAAGCCCAATGTAAATTACATTCCTTCGTGCTTCCCATGATATTCCAAAGGCCCTTCTGTCCCCTACCCCAGCTGCGAATGCTATTAACACCTTTCCTTTCCTTTATAAATTCACATAGCAGTGGAGAGGGCTTGCAATGGGCTTCCATGAATCCCTAGATGCTGCACAGGCATATGAAGCAATGTTCAGAGATTCCTGGTAGCCATGGAAGCTACCATGTATCTTCTAGTTTCCAGGGCCCCTCATGACCCTATCTGGGACTATATTCTCCCTGCTTCCTATGAGACCCAGCCATCTCTGTGCATATTCCTGGCAGTGCTTAGGGCCTAGCAGAGGCTTTGACGTGAGCCCTTGATGCTACCACACAAGTTTGGACTGGAAGAGAATCAATCAAACCCATGTCATGCTTGGTATAGGCTCTGAAACTTGGCTTGGGGCAGGTGAGTATTCTTAAATGTTCATTTTGCACCCTCTACCTCTGTTCTAAATATTATCCATTACATTCAAATCTTGTTTATAATCTTTTTGGGTTCAGAGTATATGTGTAAGCACATGCTAAACGTTCTTCCACTGAATTTAAAAACCCAAATGGACCTTAGTAAGTGCCTCCTGTTTTTAATGGCCAATAAAATCTCCTTGCCTATATCCTGCCAATATCAGTAACTTAGCTTTTCTTCTCACCTATGTCCACCAATTTGGTGTATCTGTAAAAGTCCCCAAATAAACTTTAAATTCCAAAGAAACCAGATAGAGCAAAACAAAAATAGCTCAGGCACTGCCATTTGGCAACCGTCTAACCCAGATGAGGCACGCATTTTGCAGTGGGGATTGGTGGTACAACCCTGCAGCTGTCTCTGTTCTCTTTCTTTGAGTACTCCAAATTGAAGGAGAAAAACTTGAAATATGTAGGTATTATTGGTTAGTGGGAATTGGTAGAAGATAACATAACCCACTTTAATCATTGGTTGCCTTATAGGCTACTTCTACAAGATGAGAGAATTGGAGAAAGGAAATCTTTGTTAAACAGAAAATTGAACACTGTAGTTTACTGAACAGGTTTGTAGAACTGGCCATGAACTGGTATCCTAGGTTTCTGCATTGATAGTTTATGTCCATCTGAAGAAACAGAGATGGAATTTTTCAGGCCCAAAGAATAAGAGAAACCACTTTAGATAAATGAAGAAGTAGAATAATAAAAAGAGTTAGCATAGTTGCATTGGCAACATAAATGATTTCCAGCCAAAGTACCACAAAGTTGGAGATGCTTCATAGTTTAGCCTGTTACCCATACATATATCTTAATGCATTGCTTCTCAGTAAATGACCTGGATAGGTAACATGTATGTTCCACAAATACACTCTGATGCTAATCTTCTGCTTAAATAAGCAATAGTGTTCCCAATGTTCTGATCAGGTATCCAGAGGCCTTGCCAAACAGACTGAACTGAATGACTTCCTTCTTGATGTATCAAAGTAAGTGACATGAAACACAACTTCAACAACTGTATTATGTGCATTTTTCCTGAGGCGATTCATATATTTTGGTTCCTCTCGTTTACTCATTATTCCTTCTGGGAATTGGATTTAAGGTACCAATTGTTTTCCTGTTCAATCAAGATGGCATCCAGTATGGGTTATGCTCTTCCACGGTCCAAGTCAAAGCAAAGAAGATACGATCAGGCTTTTCACCTAGTGTCTCAGTCTAGGTTCCTGCCCACAGGTTAGCTCCCTGCTTTTGCCCAGCCAGAGCTTGTGTCATATGTTAACCTATTCTAAATTTCCTTCCTACTTTCTCTTCTGTAAATCAGAGCAAGAGGATGACTAAGCTCATTTGAAGTTTCAGAACCATGAGACAAAAGACTTGAAATCAGTAGTAAGTTCAGACTCCTGGTGTTGCAACCAGGGTGATCTTTGACAGCTTCAGCAGTTATCTGATGTTGGTAGCTGCTGCCTCAGTAGCTCAACCACAGCAAATAGGATCCCGCAATGCCTCTCTCATAGCTCACCCATGTGCCATTTTGGGGACTGCCTGACAGCACGATGCTTGTGGTCTCCAGGTGACACATGAGCACTCGTCTCTGCTTCTTCAGCTTTCTCTGGCCAGCTTGATCTAGACATGCAGCCTGTGCACTTGCACCTGCAGGTAGAGATCTTCTGATCTCTGAAGATTCTGATGATGAATCACTTGACAGTAGGGCCACTATAGACTATAAGGCAAAAAAGCAACCTACCAAAAGATCCAGGACACTGAACAGTTACACTATCTTGTTTAATTATATAAAAGCCACTCTAGGAGACTTTCTGGCTGTGGAACTGCTTAAACATTCTTCAAATACAAGACAGACCAAATAGTCAGAAGGAGAGAAGTGTGTTTAGGCAGATATGACACCTGTACCCAGAGCCTAAGGCTACCACAACAGAGGTACCATTCCCATCATCTTTCAAAAACCTAGTTAGAGTTTGTTTGTTTGTTTGTGTGTTTATTTGGGGTTCTTGTATGCTGCCCCATTCGCATAAGCCTCGGGGTGGCTTCCAACAAATAAATAACGATACAAAAATATAAAAACTGGACACATCCGGCAATAAATAAAACCAATAAATAAATTAACAATTTATTAACAAATTAACAGCCTCTCTGGGGAGCGCATTCCATAAGTGGGGCACCACAGCAGAGAAGGCCCTCCTCCGGGTACTCACCCTCCTCATATCTTTCATGGAGGGTTCCTGGAGAAGAGCCTCTGCTGCTGATCTTAGAGGGCGGGAGGGCAAGTATGGACGCAGGTGCTCCTTTAGATACTCAGGTCCCGAGCCATTTAGGGCTTTATAGGTAATCACCAGCACCTTGAATTGGGCCCGGACTTCAATGGGGAGCCAGTGAAGCTGACGAAGGACTGGGGTTATATGAGAACAACACCAGTCCCCGTCAGCAACCTGGCAGCTCTATTTTGCACCATCTGCAAAATAGGCATTGCTTGCTTGCAAGATAGAAGATCCATCAGGGTGGCACAAAACATGTGCACCTTCCTTCAGAAATTCAAGGAAACTTTAAAGGTGCCACTGGTAGGGCCCATTCTGCACGCAGGGATCATAGGGAGACTCTCCCTTTGGAGGCCCAGGGAAAAGACATTCAGAAGCAGCCTTAATAAAGGACTGCAAAGTGGCTGGTTTAAGCACTTAGGGAGTCATCCACATCCTCCTTCATAGTGGCCTCTCCTGTAGAAGGGGAACCTTATGGATCACAAGGATTAGGACAGGTTCACTTTGTGTTAAAATTATATAAGACCTACACATTTAAATCTTTTACATAGTGTGATTCATAGCAGCAACCATAGTGGCCCAGCAATCACTGTGGCTATGCCATTGGAACGTGAATACATGTTCAGGGGACTCTTAAAGTGATTAGAAGATGGTTCCTTTTAAAGGGTCTCACCTTTTTAGAAAGGAGACAGTGAAGATGTTGATAGTTGACATGAAAGGTAAGAAAAAGGAGATGCCCTATAGTTCAAGCAGGACACGAAACCTATTTTTTCTTCTTTTCCTTCCAGCATATTCTTTTTTTAGCCTTCCCTTTCCTCATGTAACTTCAGAAATTTGAAACCAGACTGGTTCAGGCCTAGATTCCAAGCCTGCATCTATCCTCCCTCTTCCAACAGAGCCTGAACCTATCTTACAGAGGTCCCTTACAAAAATGATTCAATATGCAATGCATTCACTATTTTTGTAGTTTCCCAAAAGTGAAGGAACTGGAGCATCATTCTAGGTTTGAATGATGCTCCATTCTATATCAACAATTTTGTGGCATAATGCAAGATGAGGTGGGAATCCTCCAGTCAGGAAAACGTGCTTCAAGGGGATTCATGACTTCAGTAGAACTTAGCAAAAACTATATCCATTTCTCCAGCTCATAGAAAGTATCTTTGTTTTGTCTGCCTGGGACAACACTTTCATTTCAGAGCCTTTTCCTTCAGGCTGGCTTTAGTACAAAGGAAGTTCTCAAAATTGCCATTGATATCTTTCCTTATCTCCAATACCAGCTGATGTATTCAGTGTGGATTGAACAGTACAATGCCTAACTAGACATAGCCAAAATATATTTGCAAGTTAAGAGGAGCAGTCCAGCTTCTGAAAGCAGCAAAACATTCAGATCTCATTGCATTAACACCTAATGATGTCTTGTTTGGAATTCTCTCTTTGGTCTGGCTACATTCATGGCCATTACAATCGCTTCTATCATATCAAGACAGAACTAACCATCACCATAAAATATCTCTTTCCTTATTCAGTCAGGACATCTTGGGGTTGTGGTGCAGGGAAGTTACTCACTGTCAGAGGGCCACTCCACAAAAATCATTGCCACAGCAGATACCACACTGGAGGGCTGAGTTGCACAGGATGAATCCCAGATTGCTCAAGGGCTCAGGTCCTGGCTCAGCCTCTTCTTCCCTTCAGTATAATATGTAGCACATCACATAATGGATGCCTGCTACTTCAACAAGTAATGGAATTTTGGGGGCTTACCATGAAGATTCCTTCCTGTTCAAAGCAAAGGAGGCAACCATGCCCTAGAATGCTAATCTGAGTCATAATTAGGTGATTAAAATACTATATAGTCTTTGTACGAGTGCATCTCAGTGTTTCCTCCTCTTGGGAGAGGGAACCCGGGTCTGCCTAACTGTTAGGTTTGGTGTTGCATTTGGTTTTTCTCACTGTTCTACTCCTGACTTTCTGGATCCTTGGAGCTGATCTGCCTGTTGCTTGGTCACCAATAAACTGGAGGGGAGAAGACCAGACTGAGCGACTGGTCAAAAGCCTAATCACATGTTCCCTGCCTTGTCCTAGGCTGTGGAGGGACATAACCTTTAGTGGATGCCTCCTTAGCTTCAAACAGAAAGGAACCTTCACAGTGAGTATGCAGTGCTCCATTCTGTATGATGTGGACTGTGGGACTCTACTGTTGTCATAAATTATAAGTATGATAAACAGACTTGTAAGATTCTTAGGCACTGTTAAGTATGTTTGATAGATACAGAATCATTGGGTTGGATCCATACTTAGTCCTGTGTAAAGTAGAATAATTGAAATCAGTGTTGTTTCAGTTGATGTATGACTAGTGAACCTTGAGCCTATTACTATCAAAGTTTAATGTATATTATCAACCAATTATTATGACAACATTTATATACCACTCCACATCTAAACAGACTCCTAAGTGGTAAACAATGACAAAGTTTAAAAGAATAAAACAATATGTGAAAACAGAATCAAACAGATTCTGTATAGAAATATTAAGTGATAACTGATAGTGTCTTGAGTAATTATTCTCCTGGTTTCAGGAAAATCAGTACATATATCTATCTGAAAAAGAGATTGTGGGGTGGTGGGAATCCAAAACAAGAAAACAACATTTCTTGATAACAGTGACCTTGTACGTTATACTACTCTTGTAGAAGAAGAAATATACAACATGGATTTATTTCAGGTTGTTTTGTGTAAGTTTCTGAATAGTTGTAAAATGATAGTTCATAGATACAGCAGAACTGTAGGTCTACTTCTGAAGCATTGTTTGTTTTCTTATGGGCTTGAATGTAACACAAATATATACTCACTGGAATAACGTGTATCTCTTGGAAACATTGTAGTTTAGAGATCTTGATAATGTGGAGTATTTAAAATATATTTTACTGATTAAATTTGACATCTTTCAATTATTTCCGATGTACCTGTGCAACTGTTACACCTTAATCACAAAGAATTAGCTGCTAGTTAGTAGAAATAAGGCCAGCCTGTCTTTCCATAACATATTGCATCTGACAGAGAGTCTGACTGCCAATGCAAGCGGAAGTGAAGGAAGAAAAGCAACTTTTGGAATAGGACAGGAGAAAAATGGAAAAATACGTTGTCTATATTATTGCACTGACAAAATCATTTAAATGGGGTATACTATGAAATACTGTTATAGTATGTTTACTGCATGCAAAAAGCTGGAATACAGTTGAAAACACCCAAAACAATTTCTGCAGCAAGACAAAAGAACCCGAGTGGCTTGGCCCAATGGGGCTTCTGTGTGTAAAATATTAAGAGAATACTAACCTTTCGTTGACTGTCATCTAACGTGATTGTCACTGTCTGTACTTGTTGCATTTCCTTTCCTTCTGATTTTGCTATTTACAGTCAGTCCCCATCCATGTGCATACTACATGTAGATCAGGGTAGTGCTTCATGCATCTGATGAAATGGATTCTAGTCCACAAAAGCTTATGCCATATTAAACCTGTTAGTCGACACAGATTCACGAGACTCTTTTCTTATTTTTTTTTCCAATGGCAAGCTATATACTTATGCAATTCCTTGGAAGATTTGCTCAACTCCAGGGTTCCTGTCCAGTTTGCTGTACAAAGTAGAGTTTTTGAACAAGAGAGATCTAGGTTCACTGAACCACGAAGACCTCTGGGCAGGTCATTACATCTCAGTCTTAACAGATTTCACAGGGTTGTTGTAAGGTGAAGGTGTATGCTGCCCTGAAGCGCTTGGAAAAAGGGTACAATGCATGTGTGATAGATAAACAGCCCCAGGTCCTTGTGCTCCCAGAAAGATGAATGCGTTTTTTCTCAGCGCTGGTCACTTCTTTTTGGAGAGGAGAAGGCATAAGTCTAAAAGCAAGTGATTAGCACTGTGAAAGCTGACAAAACCAGTCTTCTGAAAAGTCTCTGTGTATAGATCCTGCCTGGCATAGCAATCAAGGTTTATGCTCCATGGTTACTTAAGTAGGTGATTGCAGGTGATTTCCTTAGTAATTAACAAATAACACAAATCTGTAAGTGATATAATTAAAAAGAACTTTGTGTTTTTCTCTGCAGAACATATTTTGATAACATAGTTGCAATAGATGCTCTACTTGAAAATATCATGGTAAGATATTTCTACAGTCCCCCATTAATTTCAATATTATAGTTGACTGTTCAATATTACCCTTTCTTCTCCACTCCCACCCCACCTTGTCATCATTTTTTCAGTGCCAGGTTGCAATTGGCCTCTACTATTTAACTAGTATTTAATAAGGTTTTAACTGGTTCTAGGATCTTTTTTATTGTTAAGTTTTTCAAATATTTTATAATATGCTTTAATTGTATTTTAGGGTATTTAATCTTTTGTAAACTAATGTTGGGACTGCTGGTGGCTCATGTTATGGAGGTTTTATAGAAATCTCCATATTAGATTCCTCAAGCTGTGACATGTAATGCAAGCCTTATTCCGAAACCCACTTTGGCTAATCCTAGCTTTGTTCTTTGTCTGTAGATATATGCAAAAAACCTGGTGAATGCAGACCGCTGTGCACTCTTCCAGGTAGATCAGAAGAACAAGGAGTTGTATTCAGACCTATTTGATATTGGGGAGGAACAGGAAGGGAAACCTGTCTTTAAGAAGACAAAAGAAATAAGGTAAAAATAACAAGTGGGCTCTCAGGGGAGGCCACAGCCTCCAGCTTGGAGGAGCTAAGCGGAGCTGCCACGGACAGGACATTGTGGAGGGCTTCATTCATAGAGTCACCATAAGCCAGAGATGACTTGATGGCACATAACAGCAACAAATTGCTATCTAACGTCTATGCGTATTTAACAGTTCTGTGACAATGTGTGTCACACTGTGAAATCATTCTCTGTAGGACCTGCTCCTCCAGAAGTTGGTTATTTGGGAAATGATATTGGCAATGCTGTCAAAACTACATATCTGAAGCCATAATGTCACTCTCAGAAATACCATCTTCTGCTGGCAGTCCTTTTGGAGTTCGTATGTCACAAAACTGCACATTGTTAGAGGACAGGTAAAGGTGTGAGTGTTAAAGTAAGTTGCAGCTTTTCAGTGTATCACATATTAAAATTTGATGGCCAGTAATTGCTCTAGATGTGAAATGTTAGGACCACATTAAGTGAGTAACTTAGATATGTAGAGCACCTTTGCTCATATGATCCATCAACCGTTCCTGGACTATCAGGACTTTTTCCTCAGGACCTGTTCCTAGAACACGTGGCTTGCAAAAAAGTTACTATATAGCATTTACCTTATTGCAGCAACTCTGAACTGTTTCTCTGAGCAAAATATATGTGGAAAGAGACCTTATTTTTTATTTCATTTCATCTCTATACCACCCAGTAGCTGAAGCTCTTTGTTGAGAGAGTGTTACATCACTATCTTTATATTCCTTGCTCCTTAACTACCCTCAAAAATGATTTGATGGGAAATCTGCAATTCAGTAGGTGCAGCTTTAGTTTCCTTTTCTTTCCAATTTTATTTTAAAGAACCTTTGGAGTAGAATTACATGCAGCCAACTCCACTCCTTGTGTTTCTGGGATCCCACTAGCTTAGGATCAAACTGCACATGAAACTGACAGCGTCATGTCTCAAAAGGCAGGTCTGTCACAATCAAATGTAAAGTGAGATAGGTGCTGTGCTCTTTAAACTACAAAAGAGGTGCTTGGACAGGAAACGCTCAGCCCTCTCCTGCCTTTGAGTTCCTCAGCTGCCGGCTTCTCTTCAACTTTCTTTTTCAGTGTGTGGTTCAGCAGCTGGACAGGTCACACATTTTCCCTGCAGTCTGCAGCATGGTCAGGAGCAGTTTCTGTTATAAGAAGATATTAATTATGGGGTGGCTTTGGTTTTTCAGCCTTAATCAGTCTGAGAGTTGAGATATATTGCTCAGTGATAAAAGTCCCTTCTGTCTCCAAGTGAAGAGACATGTACCAGGTGCAAATACCTTTCTTTTTCAGAAGCATATTGCTTTAATATGTGCTTATCTCTTTACCTCTTGTGCAGATTTTCTATTGACAAAGGAATCGCTGGTCAGGTAGCAAGAACAGGTGAAGTCCTCAACATTCCTGATGCCTATGCAGATCCACGTTTTAACAGGTGGGTTAAAACCCTAAGGCAGCTAGTGTTGTCCTTCTGTTCTTGTATTGTAAATTTAGAATGTGTATTTGCAAAGGTGGCCTTTCCACGTAGTTGAACTTGGGTACAGGGGGAGAGTTTTTTTAAAATAAAGCTTACTGAGGTAAGGCTAGCTCTCCTGAGACTCTGAGGGCACACTGCTTAACCTTGGGATGACGCCTCCCTATGAAGCATGTAAGCAGAGCTAAAACAACCTCTTCTTTGGGGATGGACTACCCTGCCCTTCCACACCAGCTGTGCATAGTGAGCTGTTCAATTGAGCCAGACTGGGGCCCACTAAGAGCCACTAGTTCTAGCTCCCTCTTTCTGTCCTTCAGCTTTGGCTGATCCATCAGCTGTGTCTTTAGCTGGACGAGAACTGCCTAGCAACAGTGACACATGTACTGGTAACCTCCCAGTTGGACTATTGTAAATGTGCTCTATGTGGGGCTGCCCTTGGAGATGGTCTGGATACTTCAGATGGTGCAAAATAGAGCTGCCTGGATGCTGTCAGGGACAGGTCATTACTCTCACATAACTCCAGTCTTCCATCAGCTGCACTGGCTTCCCATTGAAGCCCTGGCCCAATTTAAGGTGCTGGTTATGACCTATAAAGCCCTAAATGGCTTGGGACCAGGATAAGTAAAGGAATATCTTTTTCCCTATGTGCCCTCCCACCCCCTAAGATCTGCAGCAGAGGCCTTGCTCCGGGAACCCTCCTTGAAGGAGATCAGGGGACAGAATACCTGGAGGAGGGCTTTCTCTGCAGTGGTGCCTCAGCTATGGAATGTGCTCCCTAGAGAAGTCCGCCTGGCACCGTCATTATTTGCTTTTTGGCGCCAGGTCAAGGCCTGTTTACTTTAATGTTAATAGATTTTAATTATTATTATAATTAATTATTTTAATCTGTTTAACTTATTTTAATAATTTTATTTATTTCAGTGGTGGGTTATCTAGTTTATTATTGTTTGGGGTATGTATGTTATTTATATTTATCGCTGTATTTATAGATTTTGCAGTGAGCCATCCTGAGACAAAAGTGATTGGACGGGCTAGAAATATCCCAAACAAACAAACAAACAAATTTGCACACTCCACCCTGAGACATCCAAGGAGGGTCTGATTTTACAGGGATCTTGGGAAAGAGGGCAGCATTCTAATTCCTCTCTCTTGGAGCTAGTTGGGGATGCATCTTGCTGCAATTAAACAACACAGACAAAAACAGTTCATGTGCTGTTTGCCCATTTGGCCATGTTCTAGATTTTCTTTTACTCTGGATCAGGTTTGAAACCTGCTGGTTTGTCCTGTCCTGTAAATTTTGCCTGCCACTGGTCTCAGTAGAAGGGAAAAATAGTGCAGCAGCTCCGGGGCTGAAATACTTGATGTTTCCTGCGTGAGTGCTGGAGGAACAAGGGGGCTTTGGATCTGGAAGAGCAGCAGTGATGGTGGCTTGCTGCTGCCATCCCAGGGAAAGCCTCCACAAGCAGAAAAGGAGATCTGCTTCATCAGATGTGGAGCTCCTTCTGCAGATTCCCAGGGAACCTAGGTTTGCTCCATAAAAGTTCTCTGTAAATGCTAAGCATTAATTGATAACCCAATATTAGGAGAGTGAGCATACTAAGAACTTATGGAATTAATGGGGTTTTTTTTCATCTTTTTCTTCTTCCTTGATTTTCCAGAGAGGTAGATCTCTACACAGGCTATACCACCAGGAACATTTTATGCATGCCTATTGTGAGCCGAGGAAGTGTAATAGGCGTTGTACAGATGGTGAATAAACTAAGTGGAAGTGCCTTCTCTAAAACTGATGAGAACAACTTTAAAATGTTTGCAGTCTTTTGTGCTTTAGCTTTACACTGTGCTAATGTAAGTTATTCTACAATCATAGCCAAGTGGACCAAAATGAAATTAATTCATTTTATGAAACAGACTATTGATCTTAGCTAGTTGGCATTTGCTTAGCCAAGTCAGTTGTACTGGTTTGATTGTTAATAACTATTCTGTTAAGCGATGAAGGAGATTAAGCAGATTTTATTGGTAATTTTTCAATTACATTCTTGGTTAAAATGTAAAAAGACATTTAGGTCGTAATACAGTGGCCAAATCAACATATTTTCTCTTAAACTACTGTTAATTGTTTTAATTGCTGCTTCAAATAGCATTTCTGAGTAGTTAGATATAAGCTTGTAGTTTAAGAAAAAAAGTTTAATACTGATATTATACTAAAAATACCTTTTATTTTAGATGTACCACAGAATTCGCCATTCCGAGTGTATTTACAGGGTCACTATGGAGAAGCTTTCTTATCACAGTGTTTGTACGGCGGAAGAATGGAAAAACCTAATGGACTGTAAACTTCCACCACACCTTTGCACAGAAATTGACCTGTACGTTTTTAATATAATCTTGATACAGAAGTAGATTATCCCCCATGTACACTGGTAAATGTAGCAGCGATCTCTGTTCCACATGTCAATCTAGAAATATTAAAACACACCTTCACATTTAACATATGGGCTTTTTAAAAATGCAGATAACATTAGCTATGGGAGGATTCTGAACATCAATAGGATCTAACAGCAAGGCATGGAGTAAGAATTTAACCCTTTCTTGCTCCTGAGGAAAATCAGTCTTTGAAATTCTGTACTTCACTGGAGAGCTAGTGACAAGGATAATTAGTAATTCCCTCAGTACAAGTCACTATTACGCTGGTCAGCAGAGAAAACCAAACTAAGTGTATGGCCAGGTATAAATATAGGGTCTAAAACAGTCTGGGACTGTCCCATAGTTGCCATGGAACCCATGATACATTAATCATGTGTATCAGCAGAATACTTACTTTCAGATCTAGCATATTGGCTGTACAATACCATGTTTCCAATTCACTCAGTATTTTACAGAGTTCATCGAACAGGAAATAAAACACTTGCTGTACATTGGTATAGTGCAGGGAGAATTAATAAACAGCTAGCTGCTCTATCATTCTGACTCTCAACATGAAATTATAAATATTGGTATCAGAAGACTGTAACTTCGAGTAACAAGATAAAGTACAATTCAAAATGTTTGGGTTGCATTAATCTGTTTTCCAATATTTGTTACCACTGAGGCAGTACACAAATTTATTATCAAAAATCTGCTTCATCATCATCAATTTCCATTATTCTGATCAAACATTCAAAAGTTAAAAGACATGCTAGTTATATCTTAGAATCAATACAGTTTTGAAGAGCTTGGGAAATTGTGTTTTTCCTTGGAAATCTTTCTCAAGAAACACCAGAATGTTGTGTGTGTGTGTGTTTTGTTTGTTTTACACTATATTTTAGTGGTTTGGGGACTCACAGAGGGCTTCTAGCAATGCCTGAAGTAGGGCAAAGGAGGACAGGAGCGACTTGTGGTGGTGAATCTATTGTGGCATAGAGCTCAACATCATGGATATATAAGAATAACCAGCTTCTCCCTGGTTTTTTCTGCTTGTGTATAAAACCCCAGACAGCATGGAACCAGAATACTTGAGAGTACCTTCTTCCATGTCAACCTGCCTGATCACTGATCAGGTGGAGATGTTCCATCATCCACTGCCTGATCCATCATCAGTGGAGATGTTCTGCATGGCCCCGCGGCCCCGCGGGAGTCCACCTGGGGTAGAGTTTCTATGTAGTGGTGCCCTTTCTGTGGAACTCGCTGCCTGTGGAGCTCTGGAGTTCTGTTTTATTTATAGTAAGCCACCCCGAGACATTCCATAGGGGACAGGATAGAAATGCTTTTAATAAATAAAATCAATAAACAGGCACCTGAACAGCTGAAGCATTATGTTGTTTCAGACTCCTGTTGAAGACATTTTCACCTCTTTCTTCTTCCTTTATTTTATAAAAAGCTGCTACAAAACAATACAAATATAAGATACATGATAAGCATTAAAAGAAAAGCATAAACAAAACACAACACAACTAGTGCACCCTGTCCACTGGGACTATGGCTATATAATATTTATGCCTTCATTTCTTTCGTCTTGCTTACTTCTACTTCTAACTTTCCACTCTTTCAGAAATACATTGAATTAACTGAAGGTTTAATACCCTTCTCTTTTTAAAATACATATTCAATAAACAAACCCCACATATCATTAAAATCATTCTTTATCCATTCTTTTATCACCCTAATCCCACACGTCAACTTATCATTAACAGATATAGTCCAAATGTCTTTACACCATTCAATTATCTGAAGATCCCATTTCTCCTTCCAATTCTTTGTTATTACCAGTTTTGCTGCTGTTACCAAATTTATTATTCACATTTAATTGTCTATTTCCATTTCTTTTCATAAAATATTAACAGTAATGCTATTTCAGGATCTGCTTCAATTTTTAAGTTCAATATCTTACTAATCCCTTTAAAAACCATTATCCAAAATTTCTTAATATTTTCACAGTCCTACCACATATGGAAATAGGTACCCATTTTTACCCATGTCTCTAACATAAACTAGAATATTTATTATACATATAGAATAATTTTACTGGCATCAGATACCATTTCCATGCTAGTGTATAAAGACAATTTTATCTCAACAAGCCTTCTACACTTAACCAGACATGGATTTTTTTGTATTCTTTTTGAAAACACTTTTAATATATTTTATTCATTATATGTTTTAGTATTATTTTTTCATTTATTGTTTGCCACCCCAGAACTTGTTCAGGTGTGGACTGGTATATAAATGTTGCAAATAAATAAGCCCATCTGAATAAAGCATATAAATTATCAATGTGTATTGGTAAATATTAATATAAACTAGCCGTTTCTGGTCTTTCTGATTGTATATTTCTTATATAACAGATTCCACTTTGACATCAGCCCTTATGAAGATTTCTGGCCAGCCATTTTTGTCCATATGGTCCATCAGTGTTGTGGGATAGGCTGGTATGAATACATTTTTAATGCTGTTTCTTTGCATTTATTTGTAGTGATATATAGATATAAATATATATTCATATTTATTTGACTATCAAATGATGATTGAATTGTATGGGGTAATTTTATTTAAAGTGTTCTGTTACTCTCCAAGTCTTCTGTTTTTAAAACGGCGATTACTGTAAATGTGAGGAGTGCTCCATGCAACATTTATCTTTGTTTCTCCAAAAAAACAAAAAACAAACAAAAATTATAACCAAACCTTTTGTATGCACTGGTGAAAATAATTCAGATTGTGGATCATTTGTGTGTTAAACTGAGATACACCCATGTAAATAGCTATTAAAAATAGGAAGCAGACTACTCTCATACAAAATACCTAGAGAAATGCATTACCTAAAACATTGTAGAAAGACGTGAGCAGAACTATGGATAATTTAATACTAGTGATTTTCATTCTTTTTTCCATTAAGGTAGAACTATAAAAGAGTTTTTTGGTCACACTGAATTTCCTGTGCGGCAGGCAGTGTTTGCCAACCTGTTGCTCTTCAAATGTTTTGGACTGCACTGCCCATCATCCTTGAATGCTTGACCATCTGAGGCTTATGGGAGCTGTAATCCAAAAGGCTACTGATCCAGTGCAGCCATGGGACAGAGGTGGCAGGCCATCTCTGGACCGACTGCCTGGAGATGAAGCACTTCTGGGCTTGGGCTAGGCTGAACACTGCCTTGGTGCCGTTTCTCCCCTCTGCTGGGGTAGGGCCGGGTGCATGGGCGTGTCCAGGGGGTCCCAACTGCTGGCATTACGGTAGCAAGAAGCCACAGGGACAAATGGTGGCAGGGCTGCCTTTTGGTGTAACATCTAGCTCGTCCTTAGACGTTCAGTAAGTGCTTTAGCAGAAGAACAGGTAAAATGATTGCATTTATGGAGCCTCTCTTGCTCACAAATGTTAACTGACAGAAGCAGAAATATCAGCTTTGCCTCTTGATCTGCTAAATATTTGTGCTATAGAGTGAATAGCAACAATTAATGGAAGCTAGTTCTGTGCAGAGTAGGGGAAAGAGCTCTGCTCCTTGAAGCCAATCTCTCAGTGCTATTTAATGCTGAAGGACTGAGGGAAGCATTCCTTTCATATTTGTGAAAGGAGGAAGGGTAAGGTCAAATGTCAAGGGCAGCCAAAAGATCACAGTTAGCAATTAGAAAGCCTTCTTATTGCATGCTATGTTTGATTCATTTAGTGCTCTGCAGCTACCGCAGAGTGCTAAAACAAGCAAACAGATTTTGACTATTTCAGTTCTTGGACACATTTTTATAGATCCTTTATTAGCACTGTGGCACAAGGGGATGTGGAAGAATTGGGGTGGGGGGAGGAATTGGTCCTAAAACTTCCTTCACTTTCCCAGCTGTTGTCTAAACAACTGGGCATGGAAATTTTTACAGACACAGAACCCCGTTAATAGGCATGAGCAGCCTCTTAAGTGCTGCACCCTTCAAACACTTTGGCTCTGATTCAGCAGTTCTGGTGCATTTGTGGGAACTCTGATACGCACATGGAAGTGTCTGTGAACTGGGGCTGTCAGAATTCCAGAAAATTTGAAGCAGGGCAGGAGATGGTTTTTCAGGAAAGGTCAGAAAACTTGGGAAAACCTGAAACATATTTATGATATATATCTTGCAACATAAAATTTTGCTGTTTGGTAAATTTGTGACCCTTAAAAAAATATCTGTCTGCATTATTCAAACAGTGCACTGTTTCCACAACTTCCTTTTGAATTGGAACAAGCACCTTTGATCTAGCAGGCAGCTCTGCTGATGGAAATGGGAAGGAAGTGACTTCTCTTTCCCCTATGCAAGCTTCTACTCTGGTCTGGAAGAGCAGATTTTTAGGTGTATAGAAAGCAGAAGAAGGGGAGATTGGCCAAAAAAGAAAGAAAAAGAAAAGAAAGAAAGCGTTTCCTTCTTTTCTATTAGCAGAGGCAGTCACTGGATTAAATCTTGTTCCATGAACAGAAGGGTATAATTGGATTCCACTCATTAATTACACACACACGCACACATAGAGAGAGAGAGAGAGATTGGAGAATAAGTAGAAAGCCAGTGCATCCAAAAGCGCCTATTTCTTATTTATAGGATTTATATACTGTTCTATATCAAACAAGATTTTAATGCTATAAATATGATTAGATAATTAATCTTTGTAAAACATTTTAAGGGGGTAAAGTGCTCCTGCATCAATACTTTAAAACTATGCCTTAAAGAGCATTTTATTTTACAAAATAATACAGTATATCACAGAAGTGAGTACACCCCTCACATTTTGTAAATATTTTATTATATCTTTTCATGTGACAACCCTGAAGAAATGACACTTTGCTGCAATGTAAAGTAGTGAGTATACAGCTTGTATAACAGTGTAAATTTGCTGTCCCCTCAAAATAACTCAACACACAGCCATTAATGTCTAAACCACTGGCAACAAAAGTGCACACACCCCTAAGTGAAACTGTCCAAATTGGGCATTATTAGCCATTTTTCCTCCCCGGTGTCATGTGACTTGTTAGTGTTACAAGGTCTCAGTGTGAACAGGAAGCAGGTGTGTTAAATTTGGTGTTATCGCTCTCACTCTCTCATACTGGTCACTGGAAGTTCAACGTGGCACCTCATGGCAAAGAACTCTCTGAGGATCTGAAAAATAGAATTGTTGCTTTACATAAAGATGGACTAGGCTATAAGAAGATTGCCAAGACCCTGCAACTGAGCTGCAGCACAGTGGCCAAGACCGTACAGGGGTTTAACAGGACAGGTTCCACTCAGAACAGGCCTCACCATGGTCGACCAAAGAAGTTGAGTGCACGTGCTCAGCGTCATATCCAGTGGTTGGCTTTGGGAAATAGACATATGAGTGCTGCCAGCATTGCTGCAGAGGCTGAAGGGGTAATGGGTCAACCTGTCAGTGCTCAGACCATACGCCGCGCACTGAATCAAATTGGTCTGCAGGGCTGTCGTCCCAGAAGGAAGCCTCTTCTAAAGATGATGCACAAGAAAGCCTGCAAACAGTTTGCTGAAGACAAGCAGAGTAAGGACATGGATTAGTGGAACCATGTCCTGTGGTCTGATGAGACCAAGATAAACTTAATTTGGTTCAGATGGTGTCAAGCGTGTGTGGCGACAACCAGGTGAGGAGTACAAAGAAAAGTGTGCCTTGCCTACAGTCAAGCATGGTGGTGGGAGTGTCATGGTCGGGCTGCATCAGTGCTGCTGGCACTGGGGAGCTACAGTTTATTGAGGGAACCATGAATGCCAACATGTACTGTGACATACTGAAGCAGAGCATGATCCCCTTTCTTCGGAGACTGGGCCGCAGGGCAGTATTCCATCATGATAATGACCCCAAACACGCCTCCAAGACGACCACTGCCTTGCTAAAGAAGCTGAGGGTAAAGGTGATGGACTGGCCAAGCATGCCTCCAGCATGCCTAAACCCTATCGAGCATCTGTGGGGCATCCTGAAACGGAAGGTGGAGGAGCGCAAGGTCTCTAACATCCACCAGCTCCGTGATGTCGTCATGGAGAAGGACTCCAGTGGCAACCTGTGAAGCTCTGGTGAACTCCATGCCCAAGAGGGTTAAGGCAGTGCGGGAAAAAAATGGTGGCCACACAAAATATTGACACTTTGGGCCCAATTTGGACAGTTTCACTTAGGGGTGTATGCACTTTTGTTGCCAGTGGTTTAGACATTAATGGCTGTGTGTTGAGTTATTTTGAGGGGACAGCAAATTTACACTGTTACACAAGCTGTATACTCACTACTTTACATTGTAGCAAAGTGTCATTTCTTCAGGGTTGTCACATGAAAAGATAAAATATTTACAAAATGTGAGGGGTGTACTCACTTCTGTGATATACTGTATTTCCTTGGAGTTTCCCCCCTCTCCAATTTTTCCAAAAATTTCCAGTTTTTCCACTGGAAAAGTGGTAAAAAGGCCTCAGAAGAAAAAAGAAAACAAACCGCATTATTGCTGTTATTCATCCAACCTTCACATCCCTAGTGTGAGCACGAACTGCTTCATCACTTTGACATCAGGGAGAATAAAGTGAGTTAGGCAGTTCTAGTTTGTGCCGATCTCCATGTGTGCTTCAGAGCCCTGCAGAGCTTTTTATTGGGACAGTTATCATTTCTTCTGCAGATTTTGAATCTCATGTGATAGCGTATTTACAGTTTATACACACCACACACAGAGAGACCTCTGTATCATTTATGGATACAGATACAGAATGGTTTCTAAATGGAACATCATATTTATTTTCATATTTCTCAAAAATTTCTCAGTTGTATGAGTGGCACTTGATGCAACAAGGGGTGGGTAACTGAAGTTAGGAGCTGGCTATTCTGTTATGGTTTTTGCAATTATTCTGACCTTAGCACAGTAGTTTGTTAAAATATTTTGAATAAAAGGTAGTTAAAGTTCCAACTGAAATGTCAGAAATCTCCCCCCACACCCAAAAAAAGAAAAAAAAAAAAGAAAAAAAAAGACACAGGTTTTTCTAATGCTAGACTAAACATGCTGTAAACTAATATTTATCTCACTGAACATACAGCCATTTTAGTATATTTATGGGTTCAGTTCAATTTCAGACTGTATTTACAATCATTTGTAGATTATGGGCAAAGTTGAAGTCAGATCTATCATCAGCCCTGTTAAAACAGAAACAGGCTACTTGTGGCCCTTAGTTTGATTTCAAAAGCCCACTGCATGTGTTCTGTTTGGACTTCTGACCAGAGTGATCTGGCCCACCCTGGCAGTCTGCTGGGTAGGAAGGAGAGGGAGAGAGAGAGAAGGAGGTGGCCATCTTACTCTCATTTTTGACTTTGGTCCTGCCCACTACTTGCTTTTGCCCCACAGGCTGCTGACATGCAACCCCAACAGGTTATCTGTGATAGAATGTGGCTCCTAACTGGGGGAAAAAGGATTGCTCACGAGTGCATTAAACGTTTTCCTTGAACTAAGCTGAAGCCTGTTAGCCAGCTCTGAGAAGGCAGGCAGACATCAGACTTGCAGGAACCATTTGCTTTTTACTAGAAACCTAAAGCTTGCCAACCAGAACAAGGAAGCCAGGGTGGGAGGGAATTAAGGACATAAGAGCACCATACTGGAGCAGACAAAGAGTTTGGCATTCTGTTCACATAGTGGCTAGCTAGCTACAGAGAGGAACTCACCTATGAGTTCCTCCCACCTGTGTTCCCTGGCAACTGGTGTACCTAGACATACTGCTTCTGATAGAGGACATAGTATAGGAACATCAGAACGAGTAGCCATGGATAGACTTATGTTCCATGGTTTTGTCCAGTCCTGTATTATACCTGTCCAGATTGATGGCCATCGCAGGATCTTGTCATAGTGAATTCCATAGTTTAACTATGTGTAGTGGTAAGAAGTACTTCATTTTATCTGTCCTGAATCTCCTACCAATCAACTTTATGGCACGACCTTCCTGGTTTCTAGTGTTATAAGAGACAGGGAACAAATCCTTGTGCGTCCCTGTTGGTTCTCCTGGACCTCTCAGCGGCTTTTAATACCATCAACCATGATATCCTTCTGGATAGGCTGGCCGGGTTGGGAGTTGGAGGCACTGCTTTGTGGTGGTTCCACTCCTACCCAGCTGCCTGATTCCAGAATGTGTGCTGGGGGTTATGGCTTTGCGCCATGGCAACTTTGCCATGGAGATCTGCAGTGTTCCATTTTATCTCCCATGTTTTTCAATATCTGCATGAAACTGCTGGGAGAGGTTATCCAGACGTGTGGGCTGTGGAGTCATCAGTACGCTGATGACACCCAGTTCTACCTCTCTTTTGCATCTAGTCCAGGTGAGGCAGTGGCTGTCCTTAACTGGTGCTTGGCTGAGGTAATGGGCTGGATGAGGGCCAATAAATTGTGTTTTAATCCAGATGAGACAGAGGCCCTGTTGGTGGGCAGTTCTGCCTTCCAGGTGAGTGACATCTTCCCTGTTCTGGACAGGGTTGCATTGTTCTGGATGAGGTGCAGTTTGGGACTGCTCCTCGATCCGGAGCTGTCCCTGGAATCTCTGGTGACAGCAGTGGTGAGGAGTGCTTTTCTTCAGCTTTGGCTGATTTACCAACTGCGCCCTTACCTGGATGAGCATTGCCTTGTAATGGTGTCCCATGCTATGGTAACTTCCCGGCTGGATTATTGTAACACACTCTTTGTGGTACTCCTCTTGAAGATGGCCCAGACACTTCAGTTGGTTCAGAATAGAGCTGCCAGGATATTAATGGGGACCAGCAGGTATTCACATATAGCACTGGTCCTCAATCATTTACACTGGCTGCCAATTGAAGTCTGGGCCCAATTTAAGGTGCTGGTGATGACCTACAAGTCCTAAATGGCTTGGGTCCTAGATACCTGAAGGAACACCTTCTTCCCTATATGCCCTCCTGCCCCTTGAGATCTGAAGCAGAGGTCCTCTTCGGAAACGCTCCTTGAAAGAAATTGCAAGGGTGGCTACCTGGAGGAGGGCCTTCTCTGCGGTGGCATCCCGACTGGAATATGCTCCCCAGAGGGGTTCTCCTGGTGCCAATGCTTTTTTTCTTTTTACTACCAGGCAAAACCCTTTTTATTTTCCCATTATTTTAATTGTTAATTGGTTTTAATTGCGGTTTTAATATTTAATCACTGATGCTGTGTCATTTTTATTTTATTTGTGCTTCTTGTAAACCGTCCCAAGACACCAGTAATGGGACGGTCTATAAAAGTTTTAAATAAGTAAATAAAATTAAATAAATAAATGAATAAATAAGGAACCTTGAATTAAGGAACAAGAATGCATCTGTGTACTTACTCAGTCCAGACATTTATTTTCAGTACCAGAACTTTGCTCACAGTTATGTCATACGAAAATATACTTGTGGCTTTCCTTGCAATTTTGGTGTTTTTAATCTCAGCTGCCTTATTTAGAAGAATGTATGTGCGGGGAGTCTTTTGTTGTTGTCAACAGTGGGACCCTTGCAAATAACCCAGAGATCTACCACTAGATTGTAATCTACCTTCTGCCCACCCCTGAACTAGCCTTTTCATTTACCAAAATGAGGCCTATAGCTCATATCTCTCTCCTTCCCATGTTCTCTTTTCTTAGTCTCATAACAAGCCAGATCTAAATTCTGAGGACTTTATGGATGTGGATTTCCACATTCTCAGGGTTTGCTTGCTGAATTTTTTTAGCTTAGAAAAAAAGGAGGAAGGGGAGATAGATGGAGGTGAAGAAAGTGAAGAGGGAGACATTTTTCTCACTCTCCCATAAGACTGGAACCTGGGGTCAACCCATGTAGCGGATTGATGGACATTCAGGACTGATAAAAGAAAATTCTTTATTGTACCACATATAGTTACTATGGATTCCACTGTCACAATGTGTAGTGAAAGCTCTCAGTGTTGATGGCTTTAAAGATTGGACCAATTCTAGAAGAAGACTATCAATGGCTTCTAGTCCTGATGGTTATATGGTACCTCCAGTATCAAAAGCAGTGTGCTTGGGAACTTGCAAATAACCCATCAGGTTATTAGAACAGGAGGATGCTGTTATACACATGCCCTGTTTGGGCAGATCCTGTGGGCAGCTGATAGACCACTGTGTAGACAGAAGGCCAAACGAGGTGGACTTTTGCTATGATCTCCCATTTCTGAAGTATAGTGTCCTCTGAAAACAGAAGCCTAGCTAGCAGAATGTCTTCTCTGTTTCTATATTTTTTTATTCAGTGAATTTTGAAAACCCAGATGTTTGTACCTCAGAAAGTCTTCCAAGATATTTGTTGCTCATACTTCCAGAAGAGAGACATCCAGAGCAAATATTCAGAGTAGTTTAAATATTTTCCAATTAAATATTGGAAATTTGTGTTAACAAAAAGCTGTTCCACTTGGGTAAATTCAGGCACCCAGTTTTCATCAATCTCCTGGTCACTGCTGCAGCCCTTTACACTAAATCTGGTTATTTTGTAGTTAGTCTCATAATCCTCTGAAGAGTTCAGAGATAGGGGTTAAAGTGATGGGGGATCAGCAAAAAAAATGGGTTCCCTGACATGCATGAGCCGAAGCACTTTCCATTAAGGCAAAATGACATCTCAGTAAATCCCAAAGTATACATGTATAAATTGACAATAGAAACTCAGAATTCAGTTATATCTTTAGACAACATTCACATGAAGAGTTTTGTCTTTAAATGCAGGTTTTTATTTTCTTTCAGTCAATTAATCTTTTGTGCATTAAATCAGTGTGCATTTTTTCTTGAATGCTGATATACATTAAGAGTAATTATGATCAGAAAGTAGTGTAATTTGAGTAGAGGAGTAACATGTAACAGATATAAAGGTGCAATTCAGTGTGACTGTTTGCTTAAACATTGACTTGCTGAATGATTGAAGTTTTAGCCACAGATAGTGGCACTCTTTCGAAGTTCTTGCATAAATTTGAAGAGAGTGAATTGTCCATTTTGGATTTAAATGTCTTAGCCAGGTAAACCTTAGCTTAAATGTTAAGCATAGCGGAAAGGTCGTTCTCTTTCCTGCCATGTAAGCCTGCCCCATTTTGCACATGCAGGAGGAGCAGAAGGCAAGAGACTATGAACACAGAAGATGCTATGATGTCAGCAATGAGCCTTTATATGGAATCTGATATTTTGGAGGAAGGGTAATTAGAGCCTTTAGCCTGGACACCAGCTTTGAACAGATGGAGTGTTTCTGTACATGGGATATGTAAATATGAATTGCTGCAGGAGCCAAACTTTTGTGACCTTAACTTGGGTGTGGGGCTTGGGTTAGCATCAGTGCCCTTGGTTGGCAAGTTGTAACTATTCCTCAGAATGCTTACACTTTTTAAAAGAAAGGAAAAAAGTAGTCTGCTGAGAAATGACTTGGAGATTTTGAGTTCAGACTCCAGGGTTACAACTGAAAGCTCTGTGGGACTCTGGTGTGGACATGCAGCTCTGCTGTTCCATCCTCTTCTTGGAGTTTGAGAATGTGTGAGATAGTGCCCCAGACAGTGAGAGAAGAGAACAGGGAATCCCAAATGTATGTCATTCTCCACACTTGTGCACTGGAGTGGCTTCACAATGTAAACATTTAAAATTAGAGTTGAAATTGTATCACAGTTTTGCTTCCTGAGTTTCAGTTGTTGAGACCTGAGGATACGGACAAGTTTGTCCCGCCACCTGTATGTGTTACCTTGCCTGGCATGGCTTATTGGAAGAACCAAGGGTGGGATTCACACCTGGGGCCAAGAAGCAGTAAATGCCTATTTGAGAGAGGGAGTGGTCACTGCCCCTTCAAAAGAGGTTATGATCAAACCACTTCTAAAAAAGCCTAACCTGGACCCAATGGATGTGAATAATTATAGGTCTATTGCTAACATCCCCTTCTTGAGCAAGACTGGGCAACTCCTGGGTGAAACGGAGTATCTAGATCCATTTCAAGTGGGTCTCAGTCCTAGCTTTGGAATGAGGACTGCCTTGGGATGACCTTTGCTGGGAAAGAGACAGCAGGAGCGTGACCCTGTTGATTCTTCTGGGCTACTCAGAAGCTTTCATGACCACCGACCATGGTATCCTTCTGGATGGACTGGCCGGGTTGGGAGTTGGTGGGACCACTTCGTGGTGGCTCTGCTCCTACCTGTCCAACCACTTCCAGAAGTTGGTGCTGGGGGATTGTTGCCCTTTGCCATGGCAGTTATGCCATGGTGTAGTGCAGGGCTCCATCCTATCACACATGCTATTTAACATGTGCATGAAACTGCTGGGGGAGGTTATCTAGAGGCATGGGCTGAAGTGTCAACAACATGTAGATAACCCTCAGCTCTACCTCTCTGTTTCATCAAACCCTGTGACCGTTTTTATTATTGTTATATGTCTTAAATTGTAAACTGCCCAGAGAGCCCAGCGGGGTATGGAGCAGTATAAAAATGTAATATAAAGAAATAAATCTGTAATAAGCATTCTCAGATTTCCAGGAACTAACGGTGACAAAGCAAAAGACAGGATCTTGAAAATGTGGCTTTCCGACTAGGATAAGAGCTTTCCTACTAGGATAAGGCTGCCGACAGAACATTACTGTTTCCTCTCTCACTGTGGAGAGAGAGAGAACCACACCAATGGAAGGAGGCAGTAAGAACTGAGGAAGAAGTGTGGGCATAATAATTACCACTCTCTCTTCAGTGATATGTCCCCAATAAGACGCTGAACAGAGCTTACTTTTGATATCCAAGCAGAGGTGCAAAACAATTTCTGGCTTTGCATCCACACAATCCCTGCATTTTAGAAAAATCTCCATGACTTTTGTTTTGCAAAATGATTTGAAGTTCTGACCAAATGAATTAGGATTTAATTACCTAAGTTTGTAGAGTGGAGATTTGAATGTAAGAATGTTTCATAAGTCTGCAATGGAGAAATACTATATTTAGCTGGGTGGTTGGGGTGTAGAGGAAAAAGAAACTTTGAAACTTGCTTGGCAAACATCACTTGTTGTTGAATGTTCTTCTGAGTCAATATACTCAATAGAAGTTAATATACTCAGCAGATGTTATTAAGGGGGCCCAATGATTTTTAGAGGAATTAAAATGCTCAAAAAGTCTTCTGTAATTGCAGCATTATAAGTATGTATTTTTGGCTAAAACTCCTCTTACATAACCTTTTGCATGCTTTATCACACCACTTTCTTTTCTTTCAAGCTTCGAACTAGAAAAACTATGTCGTTTCACTATGTCTGTAAAGAAGAACTACCGCCGAGTGCCCTACCACAATTGGAAGCATGCAGTTACAGTGGCGCATTGCATGTATGCCATTCTTCAGAATAACCACAGGGTTTTCACAGACATAGAAGTAAGTTTAATGTTGTTTTTCAGTTTCAGAAGCCATATCTCGGTTACAAGTGCGCACAGGTCCCTTTTGTGTCAGATCTGAGGCAGAGCTTTGATCTGATTTTCCAAAGCTTTGTTTGTCTCATAAGCTCACTCCTAGAAAAGATCCTCTTGCCCCAAGGGTCTTTGTGGAGGAGTGGCTTTTTCCTCATAGCAGTGCTGTCTCCATTGACTTGCATAAAGGAAAATAAAAGCTGTACCCCTAAAAATAACTGATTGGGGGATCAGCAAGAACTCTTGGGGCAAAAACAATCTTTATGGGGAATCCAGAGTTTTTACAGGATGCAGCCTTTATTTTGAGCAATTGTTCTCCTGAGGGTGTTGAGAAATGCTATGACTCTGTAAAACTCCAAATGCATCCACTGTTTCAGAACCAGCCTGGTTTGCCTTGGAGAAGGTTGGCATACCTCCATAGTTGGTCCAGATCAGCTAGATACTTGGGTTTGCCTAGATCATATGTGGAGGAGGGCCATTACCTGTTCTTCCCTGCAGTGGAGGGCAGGATGCGTTCAAATGGGGCAAAGCTCAAGGAACCAGGCTTCAGGTTGGATGTCCTGATGGACAACTTCCTGATGGTTAGGACCCTAGGATACGGAATGGGCTTCCAAGGGAGGTTGTTAAGGTCCCATCAGTGAGGATGTTCAAGGAAAGATTGGACAACCACATGTTGGGGATTACATGAGTGGTGCCAGCTGGAGCTGGGGGTCTGACTAGATGGCCCAGGAGGCCCCTTCTGACTCGCTTGTTTCTATGTTTCTGTTAGATGCACACCCCTAATTCAGTGTCATTTCAAGTTTTGACAAGTGTAAAGTTAAGCACAGCCATAACAGAGATAGTAACACTGTGGATAATGCGCAAATCAATTTTTCATGTGCAATACAATTTTCTACATGTCTGCTCAGAAGTTTCATTCACTCTGACTTCACCGTTTGCATGTTTCTGCCTCTTCATCCATGTGTGTCTTTAACTGCCAGTTTAGATGTAACAGTTCATCTATCTGATGAACTGGAATCTAGTCCAGAAAAATGTTGTAATACATTTTTTGATACCACAAGTGGTTTTTGTGGCATCATTAATATGGCTACCCCTCTAGAAACAGGAATGTAATTTTCAAGTAAAGACTGTAAGGAAAGCTCTCCCTCCCTCCCTCCCTCCCTCCCTCCCTCTCTCTCTCTCTCTCTCTCTCTCTCTCTCTCTTTCTCTCATATTTTTATTTCACCCAATAATCCATGTTCTATGGGAGGATTACAAACAGGTAAAGACAAAAATATCATACACACAGTTAAAATAGAAAATGCAAAACAAATATTTAAAGGAATACAATATAGTGCAATAATTTAATGGGCTCTCTGAGTTTAAAAGATGGTAAGTAAGAAAGGGTGTGCTTTTATTTATTTATTTATTTATTTATTTATTTATTTATTAATTAAAACATTTTTATGCCGCCCCATTCGCCGAAGCCTCGGGGCGGCTTACAACAACAATTGATTTGGTTTCAACTTGAACTGAATTGGGATGATTAGGAACAATTCAGGAGATGCCTGGATCAAAGCAGGACTCTTCCAAAGAGTCTGAATCTGAAATTTCCAAAAGCTTCATTACTTCTTTGGATTTGCAGAAATGCAGAGATCAAGACAGTAAGTCTGCAAGAACTGGTACATTTCTCCCACCACTTTCCATATAAGGAAAACACTGGGATGCATCGAGGGCAAAGGGGGTGTCATAATTTTGTAGCTTCTAATCATACTGTTTGGTTTTATCAGGGTTCCTAAATTCTCGTGCTTTAGAGAATGAATACTGAAGTAATATACCAAAGGAACATTACAGTGCTCTTTGCTAGTTCTGTCTCTTGGGAACAAGAAGGCTAAAGGGGATTTTGTGCATTCTGTGGGCTGGGAACGAGAGAGGCATCATTTGGAGTGCTTGTTTCAAATGCTGGATGTTTTCTGAATCACCAAATCAAAGTTCCTTCTGCACTGCACGTTCTACGTCCCTTATTCACTCTGCCCTATTTTACTTTCTGTGACTTGAGAGCCAGTTGAGCAGAAAATCAGAAAAACCCTTAAAATAGTGAATATGAATATCTCATAATTCCCTAGCTCCTGCACCCATCCTTCTGAACTTCTACAAGCTTTCTGAGTTAGGGACACTTCTGTGACATATACCATATCAATACAATAAACCCCCCAAAAACATCATGGCAGAAGTCCCACATTTGAAGCTACAGTGCTTGTCCACAACAAATGCTGCATCTATTCCACCCAAAATTATTAGCAGTTGCCATGTCTGTGGTGCATTCAGTTTTTATAAAAAAGAACATAGTGGGTAAGCTCATTCTTTTGTGGAACCCTCCAGATGATAAATGCTACTCTTGCTCTGCAAACCTTCCTGAACCAGTTTGTCTGAAATTGGACAGGCTTGATCACTGCAGAAAGAGCAACTGTGTCTGAACTTTTCATCCCATTCTGCCGAGAATAAAAAAGCGATTGACATTCTTAAAAAAAAAAATAATATCCCTATTTTAAAGTGTAACACTTTCTGCTCATATTTGTCTGAATTTTGGGAGGATTCATTCCATCACAACTGGATTTCATCCAATTCCATCAAACAGCAAAGAAGTTACAGTTGCTTACTGATTACTAAGGATAGCCTGTGTGAGGCATGAAGGTTTGCATCTCTGAATCTTCACTCAGATTCAGCCTCAAGTTGAATTGAGCTGCCTCTGCGTAAATCAGAATGAAGCAAATTAGGCAGTCTGAGTCACCAAATCAAAGTTCAAACGGACTCTTGGGGTGGTGCATAGTCTTCTGCGTAAGGCCCAAACGATGACACTTTTGCACAGCTGTAGTCCTATATCCTCTTTTCACAGAGTGTATGAAACATTCCCTGTAATTTCTGTGGCTATTTCAACAACAACAAAGAGGACATAACATATTTGGGATATTAATCTACAGAAACAGGTACAGAGGTACATCTAGTGTTATGTGAGCAGATCTCTGTTCATAATGGGAGTTTCTTTTACCCTGCTCCCCCTTGTAACATGCCCCCAGTTTTTTTGAGGGGTACAGCAGACTGTATAGTGGAAGGGGAATCTATTCTAATAGCAGACACTGTTCCATTAGCAGACATATAATATATCGGTGTAATTCCTACAGTTTTTGTGAGAGTATAATTTTCTAAATGGTAAGTTTGAATTGTAACATTTATTGTGCATGTACCACATTTAAAAGCATAATTATGCATCATATGTGGTTTAGAAATGTATATAGCCTTCTACCATGTTTAAACTCGCTAGGTAATAATCCGACTGCCAGGGTATTGGACATCCTAGTTCCCCATGCAAAATACTGCCCACCTTCTTGTTTCCTGGGCAAGGTAAAGATTTGTACAGTATTGTGCAGAACACTTTCTTTTCCTTTCTCAGCAGTGCAAACTATTGCACATACTTTCCCATACAGCACAACATGCACCACATCTTCCACCCTGTGTTTTACACAGATCCACAATAGCTCTTCAGAAATGTCTTGTGATACTGGAACACCTAGCTGTGAAGGCATTGTGATTTTTTCTTCTGAAAATAGAAAGCATGGAAGTATGTTGCACCCAATTTTATCTATGTAAGCCACCTTGGGTTACTTGAAAGAGGAAGAAATATGGGACATAAGTGCAGTGTGCTGCTGGTGGTGATGATGAAGGAATAACTTGAAACAGGAGAGTTATAAAGTACCATCTAGTGGTATAAAATTAATCTGAACACTAATTCCATATCCTGTCTGCTTGCTTATCTAGCGAAGAGGTCTCCTTGTTGCATGTTTATGTCATGACTTGGATCACAGAGGTTACAGCAACAGCTATCTTCAGAAGTTCGACCATCCGTTGGCAGCTCTTTATTCCACTTCAACTATGGAACAACATCATTTTTCACAGACAGTATCTATATTGCAGGTAATGAAGTACACTGTGAACCAAGAGAAGTTCAGGTTCAAAATGTCAGAAGTGGAAGGGCTGGCTTCAAGTTCTGTAGGTTTGGCAGTGTCTTAAAAATCCATACATTTTTGGAAATGTACCTAATGATGTCAAACAGTAATGTGTCTCAAGTTAAAGCAAACTGAACACTTGAAAAACATGTCTGCACTGCCACCAAGCCAAACTTTGGGTGGAATTAATTTGCATCAGTTGAGATGCTGCCAAAATGTGCCACCTCATCATTCCTGTCCCGTAACACCAGGGCATCTAACACGGTGCATCTTTCTTGGCACTCATCAAGCTTTCTGTGACAAATTTTAATTGTGTTTCTTACGATACTTTAAAATGATTTTGTAACTGATAGGTTGTCATTCTATAAAGCAAAGTGTTTTCCTCCAATACCAGCTTCATGAGTGTTCTCAACAGTGATTTTGTGTTTTCAATTTCACACTCCCTCACTACCTTATACTCTGATTCTTGAGCAAATTCCATTTCTCATAGTTTGATCATGGTTTGTTGCCTTTTGGGGAATAAATGTTTGATGACAGGCTGTACTCACTGGTAGCCATTTTATGAATGGGTAAGCACCTCCCTATGGCAGCCATTCTGTGAGAGTGCTCACAACAGTTTGTCAAAATTGTCCAAAAGTGCTCACTGATCCAAAAGATTTTGGGATCTTTGCTATAACATGCAGTGAATTTTGCCTCACTGTTTGCCTGGGCTTCCCTTGCAAACTCAAGCATTTTCCAAATGCCTTGAGCTGGGAGTATGGTAACACTTCTGGAGTTCTGGAGAAAAGGTATGCACAGATGGACTGTACATGTCTACTCATCTGGATCCTTACCCAATATAAATAAATTTCTACTGAAGATAAACTCAATTTCAGTGCTTTTTGTAAAGACTGACAAAATCTTTTGTTACATTAGTGGAAATGACACTACTGTATATTTGAATGTAGTTTCAATTAAGCTTTATCTGTATTTTAAAATATATGTTTTCATAGCTTGAAGGCCACAATATTTTCTCTAATTTGAGCTCCAGTGAGTATGAGCAGGTCCTAGAAATCATTCGCAAAGCCATCATTGCTACAGACCTTGCTCTGTATTTCGGAAACCGGAAGCAGTTGGAAGAGATGCATCAGACACGAACACTAAACCTTAAAAACCAGGCACACAGGTAAAGATCAAGTGAATGTTTTTAACATGGCTTATGTTCTCAGTAATTCAGCTTCACCATTGTCAAATGTGTTTACTTTGCACTTTACACTCAACACGTTTTGTGAATTCATTTATATAATGAGTAGCTTGCACACAAAACTTCATAAAGATGTCTCTATAACAGCAGAAGAGTCACACTTTTAAGATAAGTTACACGAAGCTTCAGCCAGTAAGGAGACTTCTGGTAATGCTCAACATGCAACCTTATACAACCTTGGCAGCAGAAACTAAATCTAAGCAACACAAATAATTGAAACTATTATTCTGTCCAGTACAGAATTTTAATTGTTTAACATTTTAATCTTAACATTTGACATTAAATTAACATTTTAATCTTTTAGTGACTAATAGGTATGTCATGTAGAGGAAGGCCTTGACCTGTTCTTCCCTTCAGTGGAGGGCAGGATGCATTCCAGTGGGGCAAAGCTCAAGGGGCCAGGCTTCAGGTTGGATGGCAGGAAGTGCTTCCTGATGGTTAGGAACCCAAAGATATGGAACAGGCTTCCAAGGGAGGTGGTTGAGGCCCCACCAGAGAGTATGTTCAAAGAAAGACTGGACAACCACATTTTGGGGATTACATGAGTGGAGCTGGCTGGAGCTGGGCATCAGACTAGTTGACCTGGGAGGCCCCTTCTGACTGGCTTTGTTTTTATGTTTCTGACAGGAAGGTTTGCATGCATGAGCATGCAAAGTGGGGAATTGTAATGTGGGGTCATTCTTGAAATGATTAGCCCTGCTCCCTGCAGATGGAGCTTGTGGCTTGTATTACAAGGTGCTGCTGGGTGTCTGGCAACCTGGCAGAAGGTCCCGGAGAAGCTTCGGAAGGCAGAAGAACAGATGGTCACTTTGTCTCAGCTTTCTGGAATAACTTGGCTGCAGCACACACATACCTGCCCCTCAAAGGGCTTTGATGGGAGGCTGGGGAGGCAACAGCTCAGCGCTGGGAGGGCACAGAGGGCAGAACTGTGGTTGGCTCCTTTGAGGTTTGGCTGCTACTGCTTCAAAACAGACATGGTGTAGCAAAGAGCAGAGAAACAATGGGAAGCAGTTTTAGATATGCTGTACATTCCTACCAAGGTGCAGTGAATGGACGCAATAACAGAGCCCTACTAAAGTCACTTATCATTTATGGAGAACTTGAGTTACATTTAAAAGTGTATCAAATTGTACTCAAACAGAGAAGTCAAAATGCTGTTCAATTTCCGCACATTGGATTGAGGACAAATAGATTGAAAGGAAGGCAGAAGCAGCATGTTATAATCAGGCATGTGTATACCAATGAAAAGAGCAGCAAGAGATGTGAGCGTGAGAGAGATTTTTGCCACAAACTGTCAAGCCACTCTGATCGCTGGAAAAGAGATCTAATGTATCAAGCAAAGAGACAACTATATAATTTTAGGTGCCCAGAATGCTGTTGATTTTACAGTGTTTGCCTACATTTCCCAACACGCACTTTGCACACCTTGCTTTCTGCAGGTAGCAGGTAGATGAAGAAATTATATTTTTAGTGGTGTAGAACTCCTACTATGTTGTGTCCTCAATACTATACTTTAGGTGTCAGATGATTTCTGTTCTTCCAAAATACTTTGTAATATTTAATTTCTTCATCCTGACATCATTGTCGGCTGCTTTTTATGTGTTTCCTTTCATTTTTAATTTGCCATTTTTGTTGCTTTAGGATGCAATTCTAAATACACTTCTGAGTGAACATGCCTAGGATTGTACCATTAGGGTCCGTGTTGTGTCTTCCTTTTGTAGTGGTGGTACATGTTAGCTACATTGAGGACTTGGCAATAAAAATAGACATGTTGAATGTACTAGGCTATTTTTATCCATTTTGTATATGGTTATGATAATTTACTGTTTGGCTGTGATAAATAATATAAATATTACATTGGAAGTTGCTGATTTATCATTAAAGTACAGGCTACCCTTACTGACCAACAGAAGCAACAGCTGTTCATGTATATTCCTTTGCATGAGTCTTCCTTTTAATTAGAAAGTATGTAACAATCCAATCTGAATATTCAGCTCAAGCAGTTTCAACAGAGATCTTAATCCCAGGTATACATTTATAAGGATATGATTAAAAATAAAACAATAGAAATTCTTAAACTGCATAAGTTGTTATGTTCTAGGGATCGTGTGATTGGGCTGATGATGACAGCTTGTGACTTGTGCTCTGTGACAAAATTGTGGCATGTTACCAGATTGACTGCCAGTGATATATACGCAGAATTTTGGGCAGAGGTATGTGCATTTCATTATTTATTTAATTTTCATGCATACTGTGAAAATAACTGCAGCACAGTGATATAGATCATGAAAGCTAATCTCGTAACAGTGCAATGTAGTTCACTTTTAAAAAGTGTGCTGCTGGAAGATTTTTATTCTGCAGTCATGCTGGCCTGAAATGCAGGTTTTTATGGGGAACAAACATTGTTGTCTTCAGTTTGTAAGCATGCTGTGTTTTCTCACTCCTTCATCTCACTTTTTTCTTGCCTCAAAAGGTCTGTTAAGGAGGGAAATACAGAACAGAGTTACAATGCCTTTTGACTGAGAATACTAGTAGCTATTTATCTGTATGCACCCTGAACTGTTTGAAAATTATTAGTAGCCGGTTGAAGACAATGAGACTAGTATTTTGTCCTTGGTGTCTAGAATTTTATAGAAACTCTGTACAGTCTTTGTGGAAGGACTGTTGTGAATGGAGGAGCATTAATTAATATGAGCCTCTACAGTGGTACCTTGACTCATGAACACCTCAGTTCACAACCAAATTGGGTCACAAACAGAAATGTCAGAAAAAATTTCCCCAGGTTGTGAATTCCGCATTGGGTGATGATTACGATCATGCCCGTCTTCCCTGCATGGGTGTGATTGTGGTCATGCTTGAGGGGGAGATGGCCACAATCGGCCCATCTTCCCTGCCTGAGTGGGACCTTGATCACACCCATCTATGGCTGCGCTTGTGTCCGCACTCGTGCAGGGAAGACAGGTGTGATTGCCATCGTGCTCGGGGGTGGGGGCGGGGGGGAGATGGCTGTGATCTTTGTTGTTCTTTGTTACTTTGCTTCAGATTTTTGTGATTAAAAAATGGTTACAGAACGGAGTAACGTTATTTACATTTAACCTTATGGGGAAATTTGACTTGGCTTACAACCAGAGGTCATGACCAGAGTTGTGGAATGGATTAAGTTCGTGAGCCAAGGTACCACTGTACTTGCAATCCAAAAAGGTAAAATCCAGAGAAAACTTCCTTCCCATTTTCAGCCTACTGTACTTGCAGAATTGGATAAAAAATTCTCACGTTCTTCCATTGCTTTTCAGAAAAGTACAACAAATATCCCACTCAGTAGACAGAATTAGGCCAGTCGGCAGCAGGCGTGGGATTCCTGATCCCGTATTTGCCTCTGATGCATGAAGGGCAGGGGATGTGGTTGGGGAGAAGCAAGAGGGTGGGAGGGTTCTGCCCATTTTCATGGCACGGGCGTTGCAGGGTTTGCAAATTTCCATCTTATCCACGCACTCTTTAACAGCTCATGGAGATACTGGAGGCGGAGGGAGTCATCAGAGAGCATAGAGTAAGGTGCCATATTGAGGCTAAATGTATCCATCTTAGGCTTTCATACTGCCACTGTTTTTGCTATTAATTTGCTTTGCAAGTTTCAGCAGGGGGACAACAGGGCCCACATGCAGCTTTTCACTATATTAGCGTAAAGGCCCTCTAGTGCAATGTAGTGTTAGCTGCCATGATACAATGGCTAGAAAAGCCATTGCACGAGGTAACATTATTGGCATTGTGCTAGAAGTCCTTTCTGCTAGTACAACATAATTTATGTTAGTGTTATCTTTGCATTAGATCTTTAGTCTGTTCCAACAAGGTTCTTCTTACATATTAGAAAAAACATTCCCTTCTGATTTTGTTTTTGTTATTCTTTTCAACCCACACAGGTCTTAACATCAATATATTGAATCCTACATGTGTGGCTATTTCTCATTTGTTTACATGTAGCTTCTCTATGTGTCTTCCTGCCCATTCAGATCTGAGAAGGTCTCTCTCCAGGACCCCTCCTTTTAGATTAGAACAGTGGTTACCTGGAGAAGAGCCTTCTCTGTGGTGGCACCCTGATTGTGGAATACACTCCCCAGAGAGGTTTGCTTGGCGCCAATGCTTTAATCCTTTTGGTGCCAAGTGAAAACCTGTTTATTTTCCCATTATTTTAATGTTTAATAGATTTTTATGTGGGCTTTATTATACTGGAAGTATTGGAAGCTGTGTGCCATCTCATTTGTGTTGCTTTTATTGTAAAACCGTCCCAAGACACTAGTAGTTGGATGGGATATAAACACTTTAAGTAAGTAAGTAAATAAATAAATAAATAAACAAACAAAACATATAGGACCTAGAAATGATCAAGAATAATGAACTATTTAAGAATATTCTTATTATCTTCTCTTGCTTTTTATTTTAGGGTGATGAAATGAAGAAGCTAGGCATTCAGCCTATTCCTATGATGGACAGAGACAAGAAAGATGAAGTTCCTCAGGGCCAAGTAAGTCTGAAAATACGTGAATCTTCAAATATACATAATTTAAATGAGTGGTCAGTTATTTAAGTATTATTGCCTTTTTTCTTTTGCCAGTTTTGGCTTTTACTGTTGTTCAATTTCCATTCTTTTTATAAAAGTTCCTAAATTAGAATGCTGCATGGAATTCATAAAACAAAAACTGCATGGATTTATTGTCAGAATTGCTGCTTTGTAGCTCTCAAAAAGAAAGTGCAACCATTTCCCCCATGTTGATGTACTGAACAGGCTATTGAAGAGCTCAGCAATGGTAACTATATATGAATAAATGTAGAGAAGTGCAGGCAATGAAAATAGACAAATATGGTTATTGATAATAAACAGGTAGTTATCCATAGCTGACATTTTGATTTGACCATCATGAGCATTGTAACACTGGTTATTGATTCATGGGGAACTCCTATTCTGCAAAACTCCAGACCAAAGATAGAAGAAAATGGCTTAATAGCACTTGTTGACTTGACTTGCCAAGTCTTGCACTTGACTTGGTGTGCCAAACTCTAATTAAACTTTCTTTAATGTTAAACAAGATTAAAATACTTCAGTAATAGAGATTGATGTTAAAAGACTGATATACCACAAATATCCAGGCTTGCCCAAACTGTGGATTCTTAGCTCAGTTGTTTTGTGTTCAGAAGGTTACTGGTGCAGTTCCTAACATTTTGAGTTAAACAATTTGAGCTACTTGTATGAAAGACCTCTGAAAAGCTAAAAATCACTGGTGTCAAGGTAGAAAATACAAGGCTAGCTTGTTGGACAGAGTCCAACAAATAAGACCATTTCATGTCTAAACTAGTGACAACACTTAACGGACATTTACTTGCACAGGTTTATTTTAAAGCTGACAGATTTAAAACTGCTGTGAGATTCTTCCCTCCAGGGTTGAAAAGTTTTGTTCAGAATAGCATATTTCAGAGTAATTCACTGGAATTCTATACTTTTTTCTTAATTCTATTAGTAAGTTTGTTAAGATTGTCACAGATATTTTATATAGAAAGTTTTGAATCTTTCCAGATGCACCAACCTGTGCAGATATAGGTTGCCTTGTAGATATTTCTCCAAAACTTATTTCTCCAAAACTTATCTTCCACATTATGCTTAAAAATTCTTACTTTGTCCTAAGCTATGGGGTTTTTTTTTAGAAAGAAGCAAAGGGAACATTTAATTGTACTTCTGAATTAAATCTGAATCACTTTCTTATAAGGCATTCTTCCTCATAAGGTTTGAGCTTGAGAGCGGCCTTTCCCTCTGTAAGGATGCGGACTAGATTGTATTGGTCCGCCCCCGGAGCCGGATGGATCCTGATGGATTCCTGAAAGCTCTGGGGGATTTTCCAGTTGACAAGGCTGGTGATCCTGTCGATGCCCTGGTTGAATTGTGGAATGGGGAGATGACCAGGGCTATTGACACGATCGCTCCCAAGCATCCTGTCCCACCTGACAGAGCCCATTCATCTCCTTGGTATACACCTGAATTATGGGTGATGAAGCAGGTTGGGAGACGTCTAGAGCATAGGTGGAGGAGATCACGGGGTGAATCTGACCGAACACACTTAAGAGCCCATTATCGGGCCTATGCTGTGGCGGTGAGGACGGCGAAGAAGAAATTCTTCTCCACTTCCATTGCCTCCTCACAATGCCATCCGGAGGAGCTCTTTCAGGTGGTGCAAGGGCTGATACATCCAGGCCCAAAGAAAGATCTCATACCACCCTCAAAGGCCCGCTGTGACGACTTTGCCAGGCGTTTCAGGGAGAAAATCGCTCAGATTCGTCACGAGCTTGACTCTGCTATTGAACCAGATTTTACTGAGGAGATGCCAACGATGCCGTCGAGTCCACAATAAATGGATGAATTTCAGTTGTTGCGGCCTGATGATGTGGACAAGGTGCTTGGACAAGTACGCCCTACCACCTGCTTACTAGACCCATGCCCATCTTGGCTACTTAAGAAAGCCAAGGACGGGATTGGCACCTGGATCCTGGAGGTGGTCAATGCCTCTTTAAGAGACGGTCGGGTACTGTCCTCTTTAAAAGAGGCGGTAGTCCGACCAGTCCTAAAGAAGGCATCCCTGGATCCAGAGATGGCCGCCAATTATAGACCGGTGGCCAACATCCCATTCCTGGGCAAGGTGGTAGAGCAGGTAGTGGTGGGACAACTACAAGCATTCTTGGATGAAACTAATTATCTGGACCCATTTCAGTCCGGCTTCAGACCCGGGTACGGCACTGAATCTGCCTTGGTCACCCTGTACGATGACCTGTGCAGGGAGAGAGACGGGGGGAGTGCGTCTCTGTTAGTTCTTCTGGACCTCTCAGCAGCTTTCGATACCATCGACCATGGTATCCTTCTGAATAGGCTGGCGGGATTGGGAGTTGGAGGCACTGTGTGGCGGTGGTTCCGCTCCTATCTCAACGGCCAATTTCAGAAGGTGGTGCTGGGGGACTATTGCTCTGTGCCATGGCAGTTATGCCATGGAGTTCTGCAGGGGTCCATTTTGTCCCCCTTGCTATTCAACATCTAGATGAAACTGCTGGGAGAGGTCATCAGGAGGTGTGGGCTGCGGAATCATCAGTACGCTGCTGATACCCAGCTCTACCTCTCGTTTTCCACCAATCCAGGTGAGGCAGTGGCTGTTCTGAACCGGTACCTGGCCGAGGGAATGGGCTGGCTGAGGGCCAATAAACTGAAGCTCAATCCAGACAAGATGGAGGTCCTGTTGGTGGGTGGTTCGGGCCTCAGGATGGGGGACTTGGGCCTTGTCCTAAATGGGGTTGCACTCCCTCTGAGGGACAGGGTTCGCAGCTTAGGAGTTCTCCTCGACCCTGAGCTGTCTTTAGAAGCCCAGGTGACTGCGGTGGCGAGGAGCTCTTTCCTTCAGCTTTGGCTGATCCATCAGCTGCATCCCTTCCTGGAGAACGATTGCCTGGTGACAGTGACACACGCGTTGGTAACTTCCCGATTAGATTTCTGCAAAGCGCTCTACGTGGGGCTAACCTTGAAGACGGTCCGGATACTTCAGTTGGTGCACAATAGAGCTGCCAGGCTGCTGACGGGGACTGGGCGTTGTTCTCATATAACCCCAGTCCTCCGTCAGCTCCACTGGCTCCCAATTGAAGTCCGGGCCCAATTCAAGGTGTTGCTTATGACCTATAAAGCCCTCAGTGGCTTGGGCCCTGGGTATCTAAAGGAACACTTGTGTCCATATATGCCCTCCCGCCCCTTGAGATCAGCAACAGATGCCCTTCTCCGGGAATCCTCTGTGAATGATATTAGGAGGGTGAGTACCCAGAGGAGGGCCTTCTCTGCGGTGGCACCCCACCTATGGAATGCGCTCCCCAGAGAGGTCTGCCTGGCACCGTCGTTATTTGTTTTTTGGTGCCAGGCTAAGACCTTTTTATTTAAAACTTATTTTAAGTGTTAATTTATTATGTAGGATTTAAAAAATTTTTAAGCCGAGATGCACCGTGTTTTAATATATTTAGTGTATAATTTTTGTATAATTTTGTATGTTTTTGTTTTTGTTGTGAGCCGCCCCAAGGCTTTGTCGCGATGAGGGCGGCATAGAAATGTTTTCAATAAATAAATAAATAAATAAATAAATAATTCTTTTGGAAGCATTTGTGCTAACATAGTATAACTCTTACATGAAGTTCTCACTGACCTTGTTGACATGAGAAAAATAAGGTTTCTGCCTAAATTCTGGAAAAAGCAAAATGTATATCAAATAAGAAAGCTGAGACATGGATAGCTGCTTAATGTACTATTTTTCACCATTATAGCTTCAGATGCCAATAAAAGGTAACATAAAATATTGAGAGAAATGAACATGACCTATAAAAGAACTAGGTGGCATCCTATTTGGAGGGAATTGTATGTCAGTCCAAATTATAACTGGGAACTTTGAGAAAAAAGAAAACTCTCACTGTTTGTTTGTTTATTTATTTATTTATCGATTTATATCCTGCCTTTTTCCTACAAAGGGCTCAAGGCAGCTTACATCATTCTCCTCCTCCATCTTATCCCCACAACAACCACCCTGTGAGGTAGGCTGGGCTGAGAGTCTGTGACTGGCCCAAAGTCACCCAGTTGGCTCCATGGCTGAGCAGGGACTCGAACCCAGATCGTCTGAGTCCCAGTCCCAGGCTCTTAGAATCATGTTAGCTGCACAAATAAGAAATCATATAAATATGAGAGGCAGAATACAAGAACCCCAAGACATAAAATCTGTCCTCACAGAACCAAATATTAGTTCAGTTCACACAAGATGCAACACCTGTCTTTTTGAGAGAAGAATGGCAGCAGACTTCATTGGCTTCTGTACTCTGTTTTGCTTCAAACATAGAACTGTTATTTGGCTTTAAAAGTTGTAAAAATGAAAGGCGGTGCTCCTAAAACAGTTCTCTGAAAGCTTTTAAAATTAAGTTTTAGTTGCAGGCATTTTGTATGCTCTGTGCTCTTATATCGAATATAAATCATGTCAAACCTCCTTAAAAGGTTAAAGTAACCATGGAGCAGATGGACCTGATCCCCAACTCACCCATAGGTGGTGTTGTGTTGCTTGAACCAGGCCTTGTCTTAACACCAGGAATTTTGTAAGCTTAACATTTTCACTGTGGCACTTTAACCTGGGAAAATAGTATGGAATAAGTTAGCTGCTAATTAAGCTAAATACAGAAATTCGATATAACATCGCTAGATAGACAAATCATTCACAGGGTTCCCATGCATAGTTTACTTTAGGACTCTTTCCATACATAAAACACACCATACATAAGATTGACATAGAACAAATGACTTAAAAAACATATGGCCAATGTTTAGAAAATATTTTCTAGAGATGACCATTTCTCTGCCAAGTAAATTTGGCATTGTGTCTTCCTGATTGACATAAGGTAGCCTTTGCTGATAACTGATCTGTTTTACTTTTTCCCTCCAGATTGGGTTCTACAGTGCTGTAGCCTTGCCATGTTACACAACCCTCACACAGATCCTCCCTCCAACAGCGCCACTGCTTCGGGCATGCAGGTGAATGATAAGTCTTTGCATCATCCTTTTGCCAGTTGAAAGCCTTTTAACAAGCTGTCACCTTCAAACAAGAAATGAAATTAAATGCATATCCAATTTAAAGACTCTTTCAATAGTTTAAAGTGGGTGGGAGAGAGGCAACGAAGATATCCTAGGTTAAACTAGCTGCCTTCTAGAATGGAGGAATAGATCTAATTGGTACTTTTTCTGGTGAGGTTACTTATGTTTGGTGGTGTTTGTCATCAAAACTTTGGGGAGAAAAAACAATCTATCATTGGAATTAGGAACAGTATGTTGCTTAAAGTGACTGTGGAGATGGAAGGATAATATGATAGAAGACAGGAGTGAAAGGTTACTGTAACAGAGTTAAGATCATGTTATTGTGGAGTACAGTCTATGTTATCTGATGCATGGGGTATTATTCTAAGTTGGAAGAAATATATAAACATGTTTGTTGGGGAGAGTGTGAAATTGTAAGGAGTGAGCTGAGAGGAAAATGAAATGCCAAAGTACAGACTATGCCAATTACATTAAAGCTTAAGGTAGCAATCCTATACCTATTAACCTAGGAGTAAGCCTTGTTAAATTCAATGGGGACCACTTTTGAAGAGACACATAGAGGATTGTGCTGTAAATGTAAGTAACAATTTACTGTGATCATTCACAAAGCAGTGTTGATGATAACAGAAACATTCTGAGATTGGTCAGCTGATTACCATGTGTAGAAGGATAAATCATGATTCAGGCTTCAGGAGGTGGAAAGTAATTGAGCAGGTTCCTCAGACAGGTTCCATTAGGAGGTTCCTTGACCTCTTTGAAGTTCCAGAAAATTGAGAGACTGATTGCCAAAAACAAGAGAGACCAATTCTTATAGCTGAGTCTTTTATAGCAGTCTGGATGCATAGATGCTTTATTTTGAAAATAAAGTAACCTTATATTGATATTTTTGTTGCTGGCTGTTTTCTTCTTCAGGGAAAATCTCAAACAGTGGGAAAAAGTGATACGAGGAGAAGAAGCTTATGGGTGGATACCCAGCCAAACAAATAGTACTGCATCAGATTCAGTTCCTGTGAAGATTGATGACTGATCCATATTTAAACATTTATTGAAGAATCCTTCCCCCTGTTTAGGCTTTTAAAAGGATAAACACTGCAAATGCTAACTGGGAAGACTGTGTGCAAATTTCTTTCTTCAGTGATACAGTGTGAACAGAGAGAGACTGCCTGACAATTCAACTATTTCAGAATCTGCTATCAAAGCAAATGTTTGGCTTGTAAATAGAAAAGACTGGCTTTTTCTTATGGGCTACTTTGCTGAGGCCTTAATTTAAATTCCTGGGTGGGGAGGACAAATCTTAGGGAATGCTTTTAAATTGTGTCTTGGTAGTGGGGGTTGCAGGGTGACATTTCCATGGTACTTTTATTATACTATACCAGTATACTGGCTTTAATACCAGTTTCACTTGGGTAGTTCTTGGTTATAAATAGGGCATTTCCACATTGCTTTTGTGAATGCTTTTGTTCAATCCTCGTGTAAGCAGTTTGAACTCCAGCAGAAAATCTCTGGGGCTGAAACTTACCACTGAGTTTACAGTACTTGAATTTAACTTGCTGCAAACAGGGGGAGTTTAACTTCCAGGGAGAACACTCCAACATTACTTTATTAACAGCATAGGGCAACTGCTTTATTGCACATGATAGACAAGTGAAAGGATATAACGTATGGTTCTTCAGTGATTTTATAAGCTAAAGAATGTGTTTATATCTACACTGGAAATAATAGAATATTTACCTCTGGTAAGGAGAGAGATAAGTATCTTATCAGGTACCTGAGGGCCTTCCTGTCAACATTTAGTAAGAGTAACAGGCTGAATTTATTTGTGGCAGCAGAGATCTCTCACACAGATGAACCAGTCAATTTATATTTCTGCAAATAGAAAATGCATGCCTCCAAAACCCAACTAGTCCACAAAAACCAGGCTCCTCCTGAAAAAGTCCTGTTAGCCAGATGTCACAGTGATACATTCAAAAGAATTACCACAGATGTTCTCACTAGCTTTTATGTTGCTCAGCTGGTACTATTTTGCCCTTCCCATGGATGCTTTCAAATAACTGGGAACCTTTGAGAACCAGGTTAGAAACCAGGTTGCCTGCTGAGCAAGAGCAGATTTGAAATCCATTGAATACTGTGAATAAAGGACTGTCCTGATTTGGGCCCCAGTTCGGCACATAATGGCGTTACGTGAAGTGCGTGAATACCTCTTTGCAGAATGGAGTTATAGACCTGGTGCAAATATTTTAACTTTGATACAGTTTTATACGTGTATAAATAAGCCATGGGGTTTAATCTTAGTACCACTGACCTCAAAATAAGTTCTGCTGTTGACTTGAATGGATATTCTTTTCCTTTCCCCCTTGGGCCAATTCCCACAAATCTCCCAAGTGTGCAGAGCTTACGGGGAGCGAGATTGTACTTGCTTTGGGGCCTAGCTACAATTCATGTATTGGGTGTTACCATTTAAGATGCATGAAAAGGTACTGTGAGAATACCTATATTCAGGATGCTATCTGCAAGATGATCTGTGAACTCTGAAAATGACTGGTGTACCAAGATCCATTTTTGACAATAGAAGTAAATATTGTAGTTGTCAGAATGCTTTTTTGTTGTTGTTGCTACAAAACTTCAGATCCGGGCTTGATGTTTAAGTTATTAAAGGAATGTTAGACACAGACTTCAGTAGAACAAACAGCTCTACTTAAAAGCTTACATACATCGATCCTATTATAGGTTTGGGGCAAATAACTGTGTAAAAATTATATTTTTAACTATTTGACAATGCTGACTTTTTCTTTTCTTGTTCAATATACCATACTGAGTGCATTGTTAGTACATTGTTCATAATACTATATTGAACCCAAAATATTTATTCTATTTTAAAGACTTTTTACTGATCAGGTTCCCAAGGAATTTTGCCTTATGTTTTAACTGAGCTCATGGTATGTAAGTGTGTACTGTCTGATCAGAAATGTAGTTGAAGACGTATACATGAGCCTTTGCTATACATATAATTTGTAGATTTAAATTTATTCTCTGACAGTTGTTTTAAAGATTCAGCTCCTTGAAATGACTCATTTGTTCTCAGTGCCCTAAATGTTATTGCCCTGTGCCCTCTAACTCTTAACTATTCTTTTGTCCATATATAGACATTGTAAGTATAAGTAATACAACCAAGTAAGTATTAAAGGAAGAACATACATCAAGTATGATCTGATTTGGTTCATCTGAATATACAGAGAGAGAGAGAATGCAGTTGCCATTCTCATTAATCCAAACATTCCTATACAGAATGTCCTTTTTCTAGATATATAGATAGAGACAGTAATGTGCAAGAAAGGATTCCAGATATGGGATGAAAAGTTGGGTATTTAAAATACATAGATGCATTGGGTTGATTGTGACACAGCTTGACAGTGATGACCTTCACTTGAGATCAGGGTTATGATCGTGAAAATAGACTTTACTCTTAGTATATGATGATTGGATGGATAGCTAAAATCACATCAAGCTGCCTCCAAAGCAGCAATGAAGAGTCCAATTCCAACCCATCTGGGAGCCCAGTCTGGCTTCTGGGGTTCCCCAGATGTCTGTGCCTCCTTCCTCTAGCCCCACCCACTTTCTCAAAGCCACCAATTGTTGGGTGGCTTCCTAGCATTGTGCATTTTTTCCTCATTGTAATAGAATGTGGCCCCCTCCCCTAAGCTCCCCTGAAATGGAATTCAACCTGTGGGTTGAAAAGTGTTCGGCAGCCCTGCGCTAAGCAATCATCAGCTATGCTTTATGCAGAATTACCATTGGCAGTGTGAGCTAGCACTGAATTTTCTGACTTGCAAATTACAGTGCAATGCAGCATGGCTGCCTGGAACTCTCCCAACTTGGAGGACTATAGGCTTCCTACTCGTGGTAGAAGGGGTGAGGAAGTGAAGGCCACCTCCATGCTCCTCTCGCCCTGCAAAAGACGGTCTAAGTCATTTGCCCCTGTTTGCGAGCAGGAAACACTGAGGCACCAACATTATATTCCTCCCTTCCCCCTGCATAGACCATCTCCTCCAGTGCCAGCTCCAAGGTCAGTTTTCCAACCTCAGAGCTTCAGCTGATGGAGTTCTTTCCATGTCAGCTGTGAGAGCGGAGGGGACTTAGGTTCCCAGTTCCATCTTCAGAGCACATGATCAGAGAAGGGGCTTTCAACTTTCCTATGCCACTTTAGATGGCATCTACAAGTGTGAGAATTGCCCTCTTAGGTACCCAAATAGCTCTTCTCCCCATACCATCATTTCCAATTCCTTCTTAACAGAGTTGAAAGACATTCCTTTTTACAATGTAAAACGATCTGAGAAATAAGACAATTCACATTGACGGTTATTTCAGAAGCTTGTATCAAATGCACACACAACCTTCTCATGAGATTTTGTTACATTGTCCAAATTGAAGCTGCACTATGAGTATTTGCTTGTACAACAATCTCATCACATTCTGAATTATCTCAATGATTCAAAATAAAAGATTAAGGAAGTCACAGCTAGTAGCAATTTATAGAAAAAATTAGAGGAAAAGCTATTGTTACATACAGTACTGATTGAGTGACAGTACCTTTTTAACTTTTTCTTAAAGTTGAACCTAAAAGAAAATAAAAATGTGTTACTTTGTAGAATATTGTAGTAACTAGTAAAGCTGCTTTTGGCATAGAAATTATGTGCAGAGGTCATATGGAGACATGGATAAATTTTGATCTCAGCATACCAAAAAATTAAAAAACAAAAGCATGCAAGTAAAAATACTTTTGAAACAGGTGCAGAAATTACTTTAAATCTTTTTTTCCTACGCCCTCTGAACAAACCTATGTAACTGCTTGGTTTCTACTTCCAGCAACTGTGATACCTATTGACATCTTGCATCAGCTCTTCCTTTATACAACAGAAAAAGTTTTCACTGAACTTACTGTTTGGGCACAAGATTTTGTACCCAGATTTCAAATGGTCCCTCAGCTAATAGACTTCCTTATCCTTTGGCCATTTTCCTCAGTACTGGTAGATGGAAACACCTGAGGAAGAACAATCCTATGATAAATGGCCAATTAATTCTAGTTATGGTGGAGGAAGAGAGGAAAGGTTGTGTACGTTCATGGATGGAATCAGAAAGACCAAGTAATATCTGAGCAGGCTCTAAGCATTGGACAGTTCTTTTTCTGCTGACATATCTTGAACTGTTGCCCTGTGAAGGATAAATTAGATTAAAATGGTTGATAGAAATACTTTTGAGCATGCTATTCTATTCAGGTTTAATGCATACTGATGTCAAACATTTTGATTGGTGGAAATTGAACTGTTCTAAATAAGTAGCTTTTCAAAAGGCAGCAGTATTCTGCCAAAATTATTCCATATATTTCACTATGTGAACAGTACTCGATACAACCTTTGGAAGAATAGAACACTGTAATGTTTCAATAAGGGAACTAATTCTAAATGATATGACTCGGCTGACACAGGACATGTACTGAGGTTGTCAGTAATGGAAGGATACTCTTCACATGGACTGCCATAACCAGGAAGGCGCCGTTGTAATCTCTGGAAATGTTAACACATCTGAGTTGCTTGCTCAGTCAGTGCTAAAACCATTTAGAAAATGTAATGCATTTTTCTTGGCGAATATGCAGCAGGTCGACAACGATTCATGCTATTCTGACTCTCTTTAGAAAGATAAATGATGGTGATGCAATGCGTATGGCGAGCGCCATTCACACATTCCCTTAATTGTAATTGGGATGCTCAGAGTATAAGATTTATATTTCAATCTAGCAGAAGCACATCACAGTAATTTCCTTTAAAACATTTTGCTTTTTGACCAAAAACTGTGTTCAATTGGATGAGGGTATATTCCCTTGGTGTACACTCACAACAGCCACAATTTAACTGGTTTGTAGATCAATGTATGCCCAGGTTCTGGTAGATTGTTCTGGGAAGAGGTAACTTCAACAATACTCAATCTTACTATATCTAAGGAATTCTGAAGAGGGAAGGTTTTATATATATGATGCTGAGTAAACTCTTTGTAAAAAAAGAAATATGCAAGTGCAATAATTTAAAGAGGTCTTAACTTCGCATTTATAAATTATAAATAGTGTACATGGTATGTAATTTTTTCATGTATTCATTTGCGGTCTTTGTATTTTAAACCCAAATCTTTACTATTATGTCTGTATAATAGGATATCCAATCATTTATTATGGTCTAGGTAAGTTGTAAATAAATTTGCAAAGCCAAACAGCTGGAACATCTGCATGTCTGCAGGTCCTATTGTGAAAATCTGTTTCTGCTTAAGCAGCTGTCTGTAGTGCACCAAGGCATCTTCTGTGGATATGTAATTATACATATAAATATATGTATGATGCATAAAATATGTAGAACTGTTCATAATTTTAATTGAATTATACATACAGATATACACATACATACACATGTTGTGAATATTACAGAATATAGAAGTTTTTTTAAAAAAACATCTTTGTGTTATTCTTTGCTATCATTTCAGCATGGAAATACCACTGGTTGGGGTGTGTGTGTGTGTGTGTGTGTGTGTGTGTTTGTGCATGTCTGACAATAAGAGACGCAGCAGCTGCATAGATAAATTAGTACTGTGCCAAGGTAGGGGATGCACAACTCAAATCACTCAGAAGATCACCTTTATTACTAATTCAAGAGGGCCGCCATATTCTATTATCCACAGGGATTCATTTTATTTGCTTTGAATGATGGTTGTAAGATATTTGGGTTGCATGAAGTGACACTGAAATATGGACTTAGGTTATCATTGCAACTCATTCCTTTCTCACTTTTTTCACAGCTACTCCCAAACTTATAGATGTGCCGGTTCCTCTGTGTTGCAATAGCAAGTGCTGTCTTCTCTCTGCATCTCCTTCAATAGCACCCTCTTTTATCCCTCTTTGCTATTATACACATCTTTCAAATTACATGGTCATGAAACTTTATACTATGCTATCCATTGACCCATTTAGTCAAATGTCATTTGCATTGCAATAGGCTGGGTTTGGCTTAACCCTGCTGCCTGTGATCAGCCCACTGAGAAGCCAAGGTTGAACATGGTTCCATGTGCATTTGCTCTGCGAGCCCACGCTTACTTCAGTCTATATTTTCTCAAGATCTGCCCTCCCTTCACTCTTACTCTTCTATTCCTAAGCAAGATTTGCAGCAAACTTGACTAGGAACAGAAGCCACATACAAGGCTTTCAGTCCATTTTTGAAGTATCCAGCTCAGATGGGTCATGTGTTCTGGATGGAAAAACTGGTGCCGTCCAGCTCTGAATCCAGGGAAAAGGAGAACAGTTTGGATGCATGTTTTGGTCATTCATCCATCATGGCATTATTGAAAAAGTTGGGCAAGTCTTTGATATTACTTGAATAATGTGGCAAGGGACCACAGAAATGTGCATATGGAAATTCCCAATGGGCAGCAAACAGAGGGACATGCAAATTGAATATAAGCTCTGTATTATGCAGACCTGGTATAAAGGTCTTGTTTAACACAATTAGAAATAGTATAGGACAAAGATGAGAATGCTTGAGGGTTAAAAAAAATCCTGAGATAGGAATCAAAATATAAGGAATCCTGATCAGGTTTACCCTGTAGTCCTATGTGTATGTACAGTGGTACTTCAGCTCACAAATGCTTCAGTTCACGACCAAATTGGGTTGTGAACAAACATTTCAGAGAAAAATTGCCTCAGTTTGTGAACTCCACATTGGGTGAAGATTGCGATCGCAGCCATGTTGCCGCACGAACACGATTGCGATCGCGCCAGTCTCCCCCCGCATGAGCGCACTCGCGATCGCAGCCATCTTCCCACCCGCCCCCCAGCACGATTGCTATCGCACGATTATGGTTTGGACTCTCCCTCCAAACAATAACCTCCCCCCTCCCCTAGGTTAGTGTTCTCTATTGTACTGTACTTTGTTACTTTGTTGTTCTTTGTTACTTTGTTTCAAATTTGTGTGATAAAAATATTTACAGAACGGATTAACCTTATTTACATTGAACCTTATGGGGAAATTTGACTTGGCTCACGACCAATTCGGGTCTCGACCAGAGTCCTGAAGTGGATTAAGTTCATGAGCCAATGTAGCACTGTACTCAGAAGTAAGTCCCATTGGTTTTAACAGGAGGTATTCCCAATTAAGTGTTCACAGGTTTGCAATTTAAATAGAGATAGGCTTTAGGGAATGATACCGCCCAGAGGCATGGAGCTGGATTTAGCAATACATACCACATACACATAAGCATTAAGGACAATTTCTGCAAATGTTTTGATGGTATTTTAGCACCTTCCAGGCTGATTTAAAATAGAGATGGAAGATAATGGTGGAGATGCAATTCTAACATAGCATGTGTATATCACCTTTTCTGGTCATGCCCAAAGACTGTTAACTATTGGACTTCTACAAGGAACACCGTGAAAAACAATGGTTATATTTATTGCCAGATCTGTTGATAGTTACAGCTAGATATCTAATGAGCACAGGATATTAATTCTGTAACATTTATTAACATTGACACATGTATCTTATTAGCTATAGACGGAAGCAGATTGGTTCACTCTTTATAGGCACTGTGAACAAGAATTTGAGATACGGCTTTTAGGAATACATTTCTAAAAGGAAAGAGTGACAGCAAGATGAACAATTCATAGAAAAATTGAGCCCATTTTATATTGGAAGGACAGACTTCAAGCTTATGTTTTGAGGGGTATAATTTATGTATGTACCCTTTCTTCATTTTTTAGAACAAAACAAAAATGCAACCATGTTCAAGTGTATTGTCCAACCCAGTTAGTTTACAGGATTGCAAGCATTTTATAATGCAAGTAAAAGTAAGGGGAGAATTGAAGATTTTTGGGAGAAGCAGCCCTGCCCCCTCTCCTCACAAGTGTATGTGTTTTAAATTGTGAAGAAGTTAAGTTTCTCAGGCCCCTCTTCTTTTATATCTCCAAACAAAATACAGCATTGAGTACATGCAGTTAAAGTGCACATTTAAAAAACCACTGTGAGGGGCAGTGGCACTGAGATAGGAGAGATGGGTAAGGAGAGTTCGCCCTTCTTGCTTCCTGCCGCCATAGTTCCTGTCACTTGCATAATCTCCTTGCATCACACAGAAGCTTCATTGGCATCAATGAGATTTCCTTCTCAATGGAAAAGGCAGCTCCAGGGGGACGATTTTCACCAGTACTGGGGGAATGGAAAGTTAATCTCTCTCTCACTCTCCTTCTGCTGTTTCATCCCAAGCCCATAACTGGCCTTTGCACCTTGTCTTGACCCTTGATCCTTTAACAGGATCTGTTGATCTCCTTTGTTTCCTGCACTCTTTGAAAGACCTACTCATTCTGATTATACTTCCCAAAAAGCCAGCTGTATCTTGCATCTGATTCTACCCTTCTCATCTGCTTGCTTACTGTGAATTTTGCTTGGCTATTTGTCTTCTTCGTCTTGTTCATATATGTGTCCATGAAATATTCACCGCACAGGTGTATTATGGTGATTGTGACTATTCCCTTAATGTAACCAGACCCAAATCAGTTCTTCCAGATCCGAGTTCCTCTGAGCTAATTCACTTCCTAAGCCAAGGCTGAGCATGAGAAGAAACCTGTTGAACAGAAGAGAAATGGATCCTGAGAGGATTGTTGCAACCCTAAGTTGTAGTGGCCTCAAAATTTTCCATAAAAGTGAGAAGTATGAATAGGATGGTGTAAATTATAGTCTTGCAACAGGACTTGATGTCCTTCATGCCCCCTTCCAACTCTACTATGATTCTATGATGTTTGATTAGCCTCTTATTCTATGATGTCTGATGAGCCTCTGAATTTTCCTTTTAGCTCACATCATTTCGTACGTCTGTGCTTTAGGCATGATTTTCCCCCCTACCTCATAGATGTATGGGGAGAAATTTGTACTCTATTATGCACAGGAATCTTGCCCCCATTGTAGTTTCACATACTGGGCTCACGCAGGCAAAATCACAGGTGCACACTCATTGCAACCAAGGATATGTAACACATGGTGAGAAAGGTGTGAATTGTATGTCCCATACAGGGCATGTCTACATAGGTTTGTGGATGCTTTTGATCACTTCAGGCATCCAGTTGTAGGCCATGGATGTCTTCCAGTTTGTGGGGAAAGCCTCCATTTTGGCTGGCTAAGTCGACAAGCCTGGCTCAGCATAGAAGATGGACAAAGGATGCCTCAGAATATCAACTGCAGTTAATGAGCTGCTGTTTGCTGTCCAAGAGCATAAGAAGGCCTTCTTTCCAAGACCTAAGTAGCTTATGGGCCTGTGAGGATCTGCCAGTCCTCCCTGAATCCTTATTATCAGTAAGTTGCTTAGCTACAGTGCGACTTGGTACTTTCAGGCTGCTTAGATTGCAGGGCTTCATGGCATCAGCAGCAAAGAGTATATAACGGGGCACTTCACCCTACCCTCCCTTTGTTCCGACACTGATCTCCCAGGCGGCCTTCACTGACCATCTGATCCAGCTGACTGAAGTCTGCCTTGCAGTCCAGTTCAAGTTGTGTGCTCTAAGTTCTTCGTTGTGGCCTCTGTGCATCACACATATGGGTGCTGCACCTGCGCAGTGCCTAGGCCGGAAAGATTGAAAGCTAATGGTTTTGGCGGGAAAACTCCGCTCCCCTCCCCCTCAGCAGTATATATAGAGCGGAGTGTCCGCCATTTTCCCCAGTCTTTTGCAACCGCTGTTCGCGGTGCCTCGTGCCTGTTTGTCTCTTGCTCGACTCAGTATTTGCTCTTTTATTCTTATTGCCCTGTTACTCTTCGTTACTATTATTCCAAGTTATTATTCCCTTGTTATACCTTCTCCGTTTTCTTAGTTCTACTTATTAAAAAAAATATTAACAAAAATATTATCTTACCCTCTTTCCTATACTTTATTCCTTCCTTTTTCTACAATGGCGCAGCGAGCGGCCTTCCGCAAATGTGCGGAATGTGGGTCCAAGATGTCCCCGGCAGACCCTCATGACTTGTGCCTCCTTTGCCTTGGCGAGGGGCACAGGACAGATAAATGCTGCCATTGCCTTGCTTTTACCAAGCAGGCTTGAAAAAATAGGGAGAATTGCTTGCGAAAACTTCTATGGGGCCAAGCACTGATGCAATCAGATCAGCTTTCTGCAAAGCCTGGGCCAGCGCATGCTCCATCAGCTAAGCACAAGGCTGCTGCTCCAACTGCATCAGGCCAATGCCCA